GCTCTCCTCTTCCCTGCCGCCGCCGTCGTGCACCTCCAGCGGTTTCTGTTCGGTAATGGGGATGCCCTTGACGGTGAGCGCCGTCGCGCCTGCAAAAGAAAACAAACAAAGTTTGCGTTATCTTCAGACCTGTAGTTGCCCAGCGCCTTGCTGGCAGCTGTGGCAAAGCCTGACAACAGCTCATCCGAGCTTTTGCTCTGTGTAGCGTGACGCAGCTAACGTTACGAAAAAGTGAGTCACCGAGATTGCAGTGGGAGCGTGCTGCTCGCGTGAGCAGCGCCGAGCCTTGTTTAGATGGCGTGGTGCTGCAGCGTGTGGAGGAGCTGCTGCCGCTGTGCGGAGCGTCTGTCGCTGCCCCCGCCAGGCCTTTGAAAGTATCTGTTGGGACCTCTTCGAAAACCTTGAATCCGATCGAGAGAGGTGACTGCTGATCAGGCTGCTGTTTTCTGAACTCAGTGTTGTGACTTCGTTGGGGGAGGGGTAGGCAGTGGGTTTGTGTAGGTTCGCTGCTAATGCTGCTTTCGGTTGTTACAAACAGGGTTGTTTTTTTTTTTTTTAATACTGCTTCTTACTACTGGATTTTCTGTCCTGTTAAAAGCATCCCCAAGGGTAATTTGTCAGCTTCTAAACATTCGTTCAACGTTATCTAGGCTATAATGTATATTGAAAAAATATCGAGTGTTCCAAATAATAGCATGTTCTCAGGTAGGTTGCAAGCTAGCCCGTGTAGTAGAGAAAAAGCAAACTTTAGAACCGACATCGGTACTGAGGCTGTAAGTGAATTTTTGGATCTGTTAACCTTCATTTGCTAGCCTTGACACAGTCACGTTAGCATACAGAAGAGAACTTTGTACAGTTGTGAGGATTGTTTTATCAGTGCTTTAAAACAAAATTGTTTGAACAACTATAAATACCTAAATGTTATGCAGGAAGTTTTCAGATCTCCTGGTGGCCAGAAGCCTGGTGGCTTCAGGATCAATCTGAAGCCACCCAACTGAGAGTTCCCAGCAAAATCTGTTGGATTTTTATTGGAGGTTGCTTGAAATTATCATCTGACAGCAAACATCTTTACTGAGTGTGTCAGTGCAAAACGTTGTAAGCGTTTTTAGGCAAGTTTTGTGCTGGTAAGACATGCAAGGCTTAACGAATAGCGTAGGGATAGGGCAGACAGCAGTAGCTCCATGCAGGAGATGCGAACAAATAGCAAGTTGGATTGGATCTGGTTGGATCTCCTCTTAAAATTTCTAATCCCTAAATATTCATTTTTGTTGTGTGAAAAGCAGGACTTTGGCGAGGGGAGGGGAGGGGTGGAGGGAGAAGTGATGTGTGGAAAGTAGTGCTTTTAGGGGGAGGGAAATGATGAATTTGTGTGGGCTTGTTAAGGCATTAAACTTTTTAACTACCTTTTTGTTGGGGAAGGGAGGGATTGTTTGCTTTGTTGTTAATGAATGCTTTTTTTAAATGCTGGCACTGGTACAAAACTGCTAGGTAGGAACTTTCCGGGAAAGCCACCAGCCCTACCTTCAGGGCTGCCTGTCTCATTACAAAACAGGTGGTTCTTTGGGCAGTGAAGCAGAAGTTGTTTAATTTCCTGGGATTCGTTCTTTTGTTTCTAGTACTGTGGTTTAGCTCACAGTAGAACTAATACTAAGTAATGGTATCAATTTGAATCTTTTTCTAGTTAACGACCTTTTTTTTTTTGGTGAAAGTTGTGGAATTCCAGTATTTGACTTTAACCAACCTTGTCCAGTTTAGCTAAATTTGGTAAGAGATTCAGAAGTTAGTAGTGAGAGCTTATTCATATAAGCTTCATTTCTTTAGAAAGTAAGATTAAAATTGAAGCCAAAATCTCGATGCTGAAAAAAGTTACTGTAGCTCATTACCACAAATTACATAACCAGTGTCTTGGGAATTCAGATTTAAGAACGTCATTGTGGAATATGAAAGTTTGTTTGCCTTTAGAGTTCTACACTGACATTTTTTTTTAATATCTGAGTACTAGAATTTGGAGGGAAAAAAGCAATGTTTTAGGAATATGGTTCTCATGGATTTTGTAGTTTTTGGCTTTGGATGTTGACATGAAAAAGATTAACTTTTAATTTTATGTTCAATAAAAGTGTATGAAAAGACAATAAACCAGAAAGGCATCGAGGAGGGACAGTTGCATAGGATTATTTGACTCTTCAGGAAGTCATAAAAACGTATCTTGATGACGCTCTTAGTTTACTAATGAAAACTGATTAATTGAAGGGTTTTTTGTGACAGGATTTTGAAAGCCTCTGAAAAAGAAGCAGTTAAATAAGAAAAGGACAGCAAGGTTAATGAAACTGATAAGGCAAGAGGGCAAAAAAGGGAGGAAAAAAATTAAAAGAATGATCTGAAGATGTAAGTCTTGAATAAAGCTTTTTTTTTTTTCAGAGTGAAAAAATGCAATTGTAAAGATTGAAGATCATAAAAGAACAGGTTACAAATAATCAATGTGGCAAACAATTTGAGCATTAAGAGAGAAAGTAAATTGTCTTTAGCTGGGGAGGGAGAGAGAGAAGAAGAGGAAGAGTGTGAGGGGGAAGAGTTAAATCTGAATCACGCACTTTGCAGTTATGAGGGAGAGAATCAACTGTAGTATAATCTGAAATAAAGATGTTTCTATTTAGAGAAGGCACTCTTGATAGTCTTTAGAGAAGATCTGATGCAAACTGGAGTTTAATCTCGACTGTTCTGCAGAATAAAAAGTAAAACCCTTACATATATTAAAATGTGTATTTTTTTATTTTAAGGAGACGTTTTCATTCATCTCCTAGTTGTCATGAAAATATAGGTAGTCAAATCCTTTATCTAGTGCATTTGTGCTCATTGAAAGGTTAAAAATCTGTGTCTTAAAAGCTCAGAATTATAAACCAACCAACTTCTTTACAGGTTTTAATTAGATATTTTTTCAATTATTTCTTATTTGATCTGAAACAGTATCACTGGGTTCTAGGAGTCATGACTTACAGGTATAAGCTTGGATCATCATCTAACCTCAGGTTAAAATGGGTCTTGTTTTTTGGGGGAAATTCATTCATAATTCCATGAATAAATTATGTGGTTATTAGATTAGATTAAATTACTAAATTATTAGGTTAGTTTTTCTTTTAATCAAAGAAATATGACCAGACATAAAAAGAAATATAACCAAACCAAAGAAATACGACCAGGCAAATACCTTTTTAGATTGGCTCTTGAGTTGTTACAAAACCAGGTTGTTTGTCACTAGCCCAAACAGTGGACTGTGAACACAGACACACATACGCGCATGCGTGCGTGTACACACACAGACACACACACACACACACACAGCCCCCCAAATACAATGGGTTTATTTTTGCTGGTCATACTTATGTGGCTACCACTGTTGTGTAAATTTCCATTGCAGATTATAATTCCCATTACAGTTTGTAATTATATTTCTGTAAAAATAATTTAATAGAATTCATACTGTATATGTAATTTAAGAGAAATTGCACTGCATATGTAATTTACCTAACATGCTAATTGTTATCCCACAGTATCAGCTGACAGTTATTTAAATAATCACATTAGAGATTTAGCTTTTGTAGCAAATGAAGCGCCATATCCTTTTTATGAGTTATGTGATTTTTGGAAACAGTTGCAGAATCATTCAACTACATTAGGAAAAGTTAGGGTCACTCAAACGTCCCAGTTTCTGCTCTGAAATTCTCATGTCCCGAGAGAAGTCTCTAGTTTTTAAACACACTTTTTTTCCTGTAGTATCATGCTAGGTCTGCTTTAAGAACTTTAAGAGATACATAATTGCAATTTATTTGCAGTTTGTTTCAAAGCTTGTTGCAGTTAATAGGTGTTTCAAGTAAGTAGCCGCAGCTACTGGTGCATAGTAATACCTACCTACAAAATATTTGATACTTTTTTTAAAATCTTTTTTTAAAGCAAAACCCATTGCAGTCTCTCATTCTGTATACCTCAGACTTAAATTTAAAACCATATATAAAACATAAGATGAATGATTTAAATGACTGGATGGCCAGTGTATTTTCTTGTATGCAACAGTGTAAACAATGCATTTGGTTTCTTAAGGCTTGCAGCAGCACTCAGAAACAAATAGGACTTAGTTTTCCAGGTGCTTCTCCCTCAAGGGAACAGTCGCCTATACTTGCTCAGAAAATCCAATTCCTGAATTGACTGAGGTTGGAATTAAATTTCAAAAAATATTGTGGAGAGTAGAATGTTAGCTAAATAAGCCCCAACTATTCAGTGCTAAAACATGCTGCACTCTGTTTTTTGTAATACTTTATAGTATTCATGTCTGCCATGAGAACTATATGCTATGTTTCCATCCTTAAAACTTTTTAAGGAAAAGGACGATATTCAAAACTGTATCTGCTACCTTTTCACTCAGCTTTTTAGTAAGGATAAATCTTCCCATCTTCCTTGTAGTTGCCTATTTGCATTTTAAGTCATTATATGTGTTTTTAGGTGATAGAATATACTGTTTTGACTCTGTGCTGCGTTTTTAAATTTCACAACAGAAAATAAAATTACCGAAGAAAACAGTCAGACGTTACCCAGCATATGAGCTCTATCTCTATGGAGAAGGAAATTACGCTGAAGCAAACAAAAATCTCATATTGACAGGAATTCCAGTTCTCTTTCTTCCTGGAAATGCTGGAAGTTACAAACAAGGTAAGCATTCCGCTAGGTTATGGTTATGTTACAAACAGCACTCGTATTTATGCATTAATTGCTGACAAGAAATTTTCTGTTTGAAATAATGTTAACAAGAGTCATAATGGTAAGCCATATTATGGAGAAGATATCCTTATTGGTCTGTGGTCAATGTCAAGGAGTTACAAGACTTGATTTTTATTTGAAATCAGTTAAGCAGTTGAGCTATAATATTTTTTCTGGAGTGAGACTTTGCAGCTTTTGAAAGCTGAAAGCCCATTAATTTTTTTCTTTTTTTCATTTGGCAAATTAGAATGAATTATTAAATATATTTAAAGTCTATAGAATTAATTCTAAGTTTCCACAGTTTCAGCTTAATATAGCTTGATTGAAGTTGATCTGATTTTGGTTTAAAATAAGTACGATTATGGTGAATAGTATTTGTTTGTCTTTCTAGTGACATTTACGTGAAAGTTTTTACTTATTCTACATGCCAAAGGGTAGTCCTCTTACATTTGAATTATTTAACTATATCTTCACATTTATTTCACAGGACTGTAATAGTGTTTATCTTATACCACAAGAAGGCGGGTAAACAGCTTTCTTTGAGGGTAAGGCCAGATCTGTCCGTAAGCCTCATTTGTGCTGGCAAATATAGAGCTATTAAGTAACTAGAGTTTTCTAGCAGAAAGGCAATGTAAGGAGTTTCTGGACAAATAAAGGCACACAAGAGGGAAAATTTTCTCACTTGCTGTTAAATTGGTACCTCCTTTATTTCTTCGATAGTAGGCATCGCTAGTGAGTTAAGCCTGTTTCAGTGTTGTGAACAAGTTCAGGAGGCGTTTCTACTTCTTTTAGGAATCATTCTGTAATTCCTCTTTATTACTGACCTGGGAATTGACCTGGCCGTTGTTTACGTTGTACTATGGCAGCACTGCACCCTTGCTGTACTTTTGATTGCAAGCTTCCGGTTGGTTTTGATTTGAGCAATGTTTAGAGCAGTTATGCCAAGTAAAACAAGAACTGAATATCATTAGAGGAAGCTGAACAAGCTACCATTTGTGATGTGAAACTGTATTAGTTACATACCATAGAAATAAGCCTTACCCTGCGTCTTCCTTTGTAGCTTCAATATTTCCCACTTCTTTCTTAATGTAGCGACAGTTTTTCCTTAGCATCGTCTTCCTACTTTATATGTAGCCTACTCTTGTTCTGTGGGTTATTCCCTGTAACGCTTCTAGCCTCCAAATGAAATGAAGCAATAGTTTTAAAACATTTTAAATTTTCACCGTAAATACAAAGTTTAGTAGTTTGAAGAACTTAAAGTATTGTGCGAATGTTTAGTAGAGTATCCAGTATTCCTTCCAGGCTGGGTTTATTAGGCCATTATTCTCGTTCTCTAAAAGGTGCTTTGAAACAGAATTAGCGATGCTCTTAAGATGTTAGCAAAATTTACGTGTGTGTATGGGGAGACACCTCAATCCAAAACCTAGCTTGTTAGTTTCACAGTTTTTTTTCTCATTTACATGTGACTTGATGACTAAATTATATGATTTTAGTAAACCTTTACAAGTTCACTTTCTCTGAGAGCATGTATGTTTACTTTATAGCTTATAACACAGTAAAATATTGTACCAACTCTTACATTTAGAAAACCTAAACAGACTTGCAAGGACAATTGTATCCAAATAAGGTTACAAGCAATCATGAGAGATACTATATGGACGTTTGTAATTGTGCCTGAAGTACTGCAAATCTTCTCTGAATTAGTACTGTCTCTGAAAACATGGTAGTAGATCCGCTTGCAGGAAATAGAATGATACTTCTTTGATGTATGTTAGGAATCAAAGGGAAATATTTAGAGAAAAGCTTAAATGAAGTGAGTGGAAGCACTAAGTGCTGTGGATATAATGTACTACTTAAGATCAGGAAAGTTAAATATTTATTCTTTGTTTTGAGAAATTGTTAGACCGTGGCAATAGGTCGTTTTTCAAAACCTTTGTTAAAATAAATCTGTTCCACCTTAGTCAGAAGTTCAGAATAGGTTTGTTTTATTATAGACTTTAGCATTAAAATTTGTATTTCATTCAGAATGTGTTGTGCGCTATTGCATTTTAAGGCTGATATCTAGATGAGCAGAGGAAGGGTTACTATTTTTATTTTCATGCTTTTTTAAAAACACGCTCAGGTTGGCCAAGCAATGAAGAGTGCCTTTGCTGGGTTTGTTATTTTGATGTATTACAGACGCTTTTGGATCATGTTAACTCGTCATCTTTCATGGGTACAAAAATTAACTTTCTAAAATGTACAGAATTTAGACTTTGAGTAAGAGGTGATTCCAGTTTGATTGTTGGGAATGATCTCAAGATTGGGAGAACTGAGATCCTGAGTTCTAATTATGAATCTGTCACAGACTTGCCTTGTGGTCTTTGCCAAAGCTCTTGTCCTTTGTACCACGACTTCCAAGGTATAAAGTCGTGGAGGCATTCTTCCTGCTTGTTAATTGTAGGTAAAACTGGCAAAATGATTGAGAACAGAATAAAGTAATAATTCACATCATACTGATAATATCTGTTAGTAATTTGAACATATAAAGTAGCTCATAAATATGATTTATCCATTTCAAGCACTTTGTTGATGTTTATTTGATATGTTAGTTCCTGTAGGTTTTCCCAGAATGAAGATTCTGCAGACTCTAGCTCTCTGGAACTCTAGAAGACTCTAGCTTCTAGGTGCCAGATTTGGGCAGACCTTTCTGGCAATCATTAGTTTATTTTGCAGAAGTATGCACTTCCTTTTGGGACTTTCTCTTTTTGCAGTCACTACTGTTCCCACCCTGCCATGTCTCCATGGAAACTCAGTGACAATTCTGCACTGAGAAGTCTATATTAAATAACAGCCAGGGTTAGACAGAGAAGACGGCTCAGGAACAACACCTTATAAATGGAGTATTTTTCTCCTTCAAGACTTTAGGTGGAAAGTGATTTTTGTTCTCTTCCGCATTCTACTGTAAATTTTGTTGTGATAGGTTTATTATTATTTTTTGTATCGTAAAGTTTTATAAAAATGTGAAATAATTCTTACATTTCTCATTTACGTTTTCGTTTTATCAGTGGCAGGCTGATACTTTTGTTGCAGTTATTTATATCTTCAAATCTGTTTTCATAAAACAAGTTCAGCTGAATTTTAGAGAAGAACAGTAAATAGACCATTTGCTTTTGGATGTCTTTTTCATCCTTTTTTACTCTTATAAGTGACTTGAGAGTGAACAATGGATTTAGGGTAATGTTTAAGGTAATGTAAGGTAAGGTAATTTAAGATATGTTTCAAAATAGGGTATATATTTGTGTTTGTCTACTAATGAAGGTGTAAGAACAGTCTAATTGCTCCTTAATTATGTAATTTCTTTTCGTAGTGCGTTCTCTTGGCTCTATTGCGCTTAGAAAAGCAGAAGATGTTGACTTCAAGTACCATTTTAATTTCTTCAGTGTCAACTTTAACGAAGAATTGGTTGCATTGTATGGTGGTAGTCTGCAGAGACAGACCAAATTTGTGCACGAGTGCATAAAAGTAATTCTTGAGTTGTACAGGGTAAGTAGTGAATAATGTGTTTTGCATTTTGGGGATTTCTGGACTGCCTTTTCTGCTGGAAAACTGAAGTAGTGATGAATAAGGGAGGGAAACTTTTATTTATAATACGTATGGTAGTAGCACAAGAGAGAAGTGCTGCTCTTTAATAGATTTTTAACTCTTGTGACAATCACTGAGCCTTCGATAGGTTAAAGAAAAGTTCTTTGCTGGCCCCTGTCCAGAAGAGTGTCATTAACTACAATAAGCCAGTTTCTGATGATTGCATGGGCTATGTAATCTTTCCTTTTGAGCTGCAAATTTCATGGTAAGCCTGGTTTTTGAGGTAGCAACTAAACTTGCTATCCTTGAGCAGGCTAAGTTAATTTTAGAGTTGGAAAAAAAAAAAAAAAAGTACAGCTGTTAACCAAATGAGACATAGTTCAATCTCAATTCTGTTTTTGGTATGTTATCTAATTGCTCTTTGTTCTTTGCTTAAGGATCGAGAATTTGCACCCACCAGTGTTGCAATAATAGGTCATTCCATGGGTGGTCTTGTTGCAAGAGCATTGCTTACTTTGAAGAATTTTAGGCCTGAACTTATAAACCTCCTCATTACACAAGCCACACCTCATGTTGCACCAGTAATGCCTTTAGACAAATACCTTACCGGTAAGTTTTGCAGTTTACCTGACTGCATTGCATTTCTTTATTGATCCTCTCAAGCATATAGGGGAGATTCTGCCAAATTAGTGTGACCTTAGAGCAGTTTTGGTATGTAAAACATGCTCTAGCTCTATAACTGTACTTAATCCATTTCTTTGTTACTGAGGTGGGTGTTTGAGAAGCACTAAAATACTAGAAGAACATAAAATGTCACATAAAGTGGACTGTGTATTAGGGGCTTGAGCATCTGTGAAGGGGCTGGGAGTTTAAATAACTTGCAGTAACTCCTCAGTAAGTTGCAGAGCATATTACTAATTTTCTAACTTCTCCAGTGGATTTTTTTTTAACTTGACCTTTCTTTATCAGATTAATTACCTAAATAGTTATTTCTGTGAAAGGTGCTGAATTCGGAATTTGTCACTCCCAAAGGTAGAGGGATAAGAGTACTGAATATAGATAAAATTTTATTCTTTTATATATATGTGTATATATACACACAGACACATATACATTTGTATACATTTGTGTATATATAAAAATAAATACATCATATTTTCTGATCACCTAAATAACTGTGGCATAAAAAGAAAAGTGTAATTATTAAGTATGTACTATATACACTTACAAAGATAGATTTTACTAAAATATACTCATGAAATATGTGCTCAGTGGTAATTATGCTATTCCATGTAGCTATTGAAGGAATTGGTAAAGGGAAATGATAGATGTTTATTTTCTTTATTCTTTCTGGCACTCATCACTCTATGAGACTAACATTTGGAAGTATGTGCTCAACTGATATAAAAAGCATAAGTGTATCTACCTTTCCCAATTGCTACTTCATTGGTGTTAAAACAATCATTTTGCTTCCTTATATGAATCAAAATTGGTAATGGGATTTGAATGCCTCCAGGATGGCTTCCAGAAACTTTTAATTAAATGTTTTTGTGGCTTTTTTGTATAGTAAATATACTCATGGGGAAATAGTGATTGATTTTAATGTATTTTATAGATTTTTATACAGCTGTAAACAATCATTGGATTCTAAAGGCCCAAGATCTCAGAAATTTAACTACCCTTTCTGTGGCGGGAGGATTCAGAGATTACCAAGTTCGTTCAGGACTGACTTTTCTGCCAAGATTGAGTCAACATGACAGTGCCTTATCAGTTGTGGTAAAAACAAAAAAACAAAAAAGCCTTTTTTGATTTTGCATGGAATTATGTTAGATAGCCACCTGTATAATGCATATTATCAGTGTCTGATTATAGTCTGTATCTGCAGCATAGTATAATTAAGTGTCAAAATATTACACCTGAAAATACAAAGTAGATTGTTATAAAACCGTAAATACTTGATCCAGTAGGAATGAACGTCCACTAGAAGCACACGTTAGGGTGGATGTGAATCATGTTCTGTTTGGTACTGTTTCTTCTCACCTTCTTGCATCTTTTCAGTTCCAAAACTCAGGTTTTATTTTCCTGGGCTTTTGCAGGATATGTGTATGTGGAGACTGACAGATGTGCAGTATAGGAGTAGAGCTCTTGTTTATTTAGAAGAAGACAGTCCTGGTTTTGAGGCTTGTTTTTGTATTTACTGTCTTTGAAGAAGTTAGAAAGGATCTACTGGTTCGTCAAGTCCAGTCCCCTGCTTTGCAAGGATCTAGCTCCTTTAATTCCTTTCAAAATTAATCAAGTAACATCACAGGAGTAGTTAAATTTGTCATTCCATCCTCCTTGCCACCAACCTGTTTCCTTCATGAAGGAGCTGGAAAACACTCCCCAGTATTCCAAATTTGATTTAAAAATAAAAAATAAAAAATTTGTGATTTCCTGCACCTCTCTTTACCACACAAGGCAATTTGTAGATGAATTTGTTCAGGCAGCATCATAACTCGTGGTCTGAAATAGTTTTGTTTCTCTTCTTGCTGTTTACTGTACGCCCTCTGATTCTACTAGGCTAAGATGATTAACTCTGCATTCCCTTTTTTCTAGTAACCCTCCTCTGCCTCTGTTTTAGTGTGATTTCTCTTGAGTGTAGGTGAGACAACTTTGTACGAGGTGACATGTATAGTAGTACCAATTCTTTCTCATCTTCTGTCATCTGGATATGACAGATCATATGGTTCTGTCATAAGATGATGTATGTTTGTTTGTTTGTTTTTCCTGGCTGTGATGCATTAATATTTCATAGCTTGCTTGAATCAAGTTGTAGAGTTAGGTGATGAGCTCCATTTATGGAAGATGTTTTTGATATTGGTAGTCTCTAAAATGCAATACACACACTTTTACAAATAAATAGCTACAGAACGTCCAGTTCTTTCTGCGTGATATTCTGATGTTTCTTTCTGCTGAGGATGCCCTTAATTTTTCAGCAGCAGCAGTTTTCGTCAGCATCCTCCTTTTTTTTTTGTGCCAGGATCACTTCTTAAAATCGCAAAATTAGTCATAGAAACAAACTTTTAAAAAGTTTAAGTTCCCACCATACCAAGGAGTTGGCCCTTTCGACATTAATCCCTGCAAAATCCCAGTCCTTGTTGAAGTGAGCAAGATTTTTGGCTGTAAAAGTCATTTTATTGTTGTCTTCTTCCTTGAGACGTATAAGATAAACTCTGTTCTTGTCAATAATTACCCAAGTATGTTTATATCGGGGAAAAATTGTTTATCATTTTTAAATGTGGAATACTAACAAACTCTAACATTTCTCCTTCCCTGAACAGAGCTCAGCAGTGCCTAGAGCTTGGGCCTCAACAGACCACCTCTCTATAGTATGGTAAGCTGGTGAAAAGGAAGTCAATTGACTGAGCAGACATGCCTCTCTCCTCTGCTGTTATTACATCACACAATAATTTAACTTCAGCATAATACTGATGGTCTTTTCTGGCCATTCTCCCCCCCCCCAAAAAAAGCCTTATTTCCTTGCTAAATGTAATTTTCCTTATTCTTTCTTTTAGGTGCAAAGAATTGATCCTGGCTATGATTAGAGCTTTTTTTGACCTCATAGATGAAAACACAAGGCAGGTTTGTATATGAGATCTCCTCCATATTACCGGTCATGCTTTCTGTTTCTATCCCAGAATGCTTAGTTCATACTTAATTATTCAGGACATATATCACTCTATTATGCAGAAAACTGCTTGTTGATTATTCTGAGCCATGCTGAGAAAATTGTTGCCTTTTTGGGACCAGTCACTGAGAAATCGTGTGTCTTTGGGTTATTTGAACAACGTGTCAGAAATAATTAGGTGTTAACTCAGTTTTTATTGTTGACTACTTGATGTTTTATAGCTGGGGTGTGAACTGAACTTTTGTTCCATGATGGAGCAGGCTTAATTGACCTTGCCCTGTAATAAATGAATACATTTTGCCGCCTGTGTAGCTCTGAATGTAACCTCTTACTGAGTGTGTTTGAGTCGCTATCTAAAACCAATTTACAGAGGGTGAAGTGTTATCGCATAACTCGGACACAGTACTTCTGGAACTTTCTGATTATATTCCTCATGTGGTGGTGTGATGATGGCCAGAATGTATTTGTGGTATTCTTTTGTAAATAACACTAACTAAAATAGAATATAAATACAATAATAGCATAGGAAAAAGCTATGAAAAAGCTAATTAGTTTACCCTCAGTTCCCATCATCTGTTGCTTTTCTAAATAATATCCGTCATTTTACATTTTGGAAATGGTATGCCCATTGTACTCTGTTCTCTTTCTGATGCCTTATGCAGCAAGAAACATGGAGAGTTAGGATTAAGGTCCAGAGGTTGGAAATATGCAAGAACAGAGCCCCATACATAGAAGAGGAAGGCTTCCAGGTGTGCTTTTTAAGTCTGGTTGGGGCAGACTTTGCTGATTTCTCAAGAGTGCACACATTAATTTATTATTTCTAGAGATTAAAAAAAAGGGACTGCTGCTGTTCTGAAGTTGACTGGCAATGTGCTGGAGGGTAAAACTTTTCAGAAATCAATCGTAACGGACGCAAATGTAATATTGGAAAGTTGAAGAAACAAAAATGAGTCTTGGAAATCTGATTTTGAAAAACAAAACAACAACAGCGTGTAGATCTACAGCTGCTTGGATGTTATAAAGTATGTGTAAACTTTCTCTCCGTATTGCAGTAATTGACCATTGATAGCATTTGATTTGTTCAGATGATTGAATTTAGAATAGAGGGCAATGTACCATGTCTTCTGATAGTTCTCCTTCCTCTCTTTCACAAAACTCTATTGCTGGCTATGATCTCATATTAATTGTAAACTAAAAAATTGTCAGCTTTTTTTTTTTTTTAAACTCAATCTGGTATTTTTTTTTTTTTTTAGATAACTGAGGATCCAAAGAAGAGAATGTCAGTATTGAATCACCACTTTGTGAGACATCCTGCAAAAATGTTTGAGGAAAGTCCTGACGCTTTTACAGAACTCACAGGTGTGCAGTAGTTTTCTTTTGAACAGGATTCAGTGATGCTCCTTGCTTAACAGTTAATCTTCTGACTAATGAACTTCAGAAATACATTCTGTCACTCTTTTGGCATTGCTAGGATGATATTTGGGTTATAGAACTACAATATCAATTTTTGCATGTTTTCAGCATTTAGTGGGATCTACAGGATAGGAGCAAAAATGTGCATGTCATTTTCATGTTCTTTAGATTCTGAGGGACAAGCAGGAGTCACACTTACATCAAGGTGTCCAGTAAACAATCTCAGAAATTGAGACTAGCTGGATGTTAGAAGTACTGTCTAATCTATGTTTACATCCTGTGTTTAGTAGAGGGATTTTATGGGTATTGTAGAGCCATTATGTTAGTTTTGTGCTACTTGTTGAAATCCTGATTATTTAGATCTGTTTCATCAGTGACTGCCTTTTTTTGACATGACAGGATAAAAAGGACTACACATTAATGGTTTCCTTGCAACTGCTAGGGCTGAGTAAAGATGAGAAATGTTGACTGCATGGAGTCTCGGGAACTAAAGAGAATTTTGTACGGCAGAACTGTTGTTTCTTAATTTTGCTGAAGTGGACTAAACTGAGGAAAACTATTTTATTTCAGGATTTTTTCTTAATGTTAAAATATTACAGAGGCACTAAGAGAGCTTGAATTTTTGTCTCCAGTTTTGTCTGCCCCAGTATAAGAAGGCATTGTCTACTGGAATGAGTCCAGCGGAGGATTACCAAAATGGTTAGCATCTAGGGTACCGGAGAGAGGAATATATTTAAATAGGATTTCATATTTGTCTTCCTATTTCTGGCACCCTCGTGACACTTAGCTGAATTTATCTGTGATGAACTTTTTACTCTGGTTACGTAGAAGAAAATTATTAACCTTCTTGCAAAAGAATTTACTTTGTTTGTATCTCTAATCTGTTGGTTATTCTGCCTTATTCTTTCTCTTCTGACATATCTTTAAACTCCTACTATCTTCCTGTACCTGGTATTCCGCTCATCTTTGACTTGCTTCTATACAAATTTATGTATTGGTTTTCTTGAAAGGGTGACAGGAACAAAATTAGGGGTGTTTCTAATGTTGCCTTAGCTTTCAGCAGCCACTTACCCTCTAATTACATTAGTATTATTCATATTCTTATTTGTTTTGCTTCCTTGAGGCATTTGTTTCAAGATTGATGGGGTTTTCCTTTTACAGTTAACATGCAGTATTTGGATGCTGGGGTTTTACTACTTCTTGCGTAACTGATGATGACTATTGAATGTAATTCGAAGAAGTAGCAATCCTGAGTGTTGATTAAAGCTTAGAAAGTTTAGGATCATTTTGGAAATAAGAAAAAGATAAGATTTTGGAAATAAGGAAAAATAGTTCCTGCAGTGTGGCATATAAAAACATATTTATTTTTAGGAGCTTTCACGTGGATTAAAGTCAAAACATCAAAATGGACCTATTCAGTTTACAATGTAAGTAACAGTTTTTCCTAATTGCATTTTTATGTTTCTTTTCTTTACTAATGAACTTTTTTTTTCTTTTAAGGATTCTAATGGAAAGTATTTCACATTTCCCCTTGCAAGCCACAGAAAATCCTATAGTCACATTTACTGTCAAAACAGTATGTTGGTGAGAAAATACTTTTTTTTTTTTTTTTTTTAATATTTTGAGTTTGTTTATAAAGCTGTATTGTTTCAATGTAGATTCTCTGCAGTCTTAAGTCAATTTACTGAATAATAGTTTAAATTACTGGCATTCCTTTACATTCACAGCCTAATAAATTGTGTTAGATTTGCTTCCTTTTTTAGCATGTTACTTTTAGTGTTCAGGGTCTGAAACCTTCAATGCCACTTGACTCTAAAATGCCTTATTTTTGTCTCTCTTATGGTTAGCCCCAGATACTATTGATTCCTTTCTCCTTTAATTTAGTGCAGTTGTATTGATGGTTTTGAATGGAAAAGTTATTTCTAGTATTGCTAGGATTCAACCACTGTTCTAATTCAGGAAGGCTGTTTATGAGCCCTTCCTGGTAGACTTGCTTTTCCACAACAAGATTCAAGCAAGTCTGAAAAGGTACACAGGTCTTCAGCTAAGCAGTGGAAATGAATGTGAACCAACATAGAAGGCAGCACCCTCTCAGCTGTCTGCTCTATTTAGAAAAGAGATGATAACGTGCATTTCTTATGCTTTCAGCTCCAGACATATCTGTTCATTTCGGCCAAGATTTACTGAAATTATTTTGGATTTTTTTTTTTTTTTTTTTTTTTAAGGAAGGAATGTAATTTCCTGGCAAACTGGAGATGGATAAACGAGCTTTTCATCATTATATGAGGACCTTAGATTAGTGGCAAGAACACTGAGATGCTTTTCACTTTCCATCCTTCCTGTCTCTTCCTTCCCCTCTCCCCCAAAGAAAAGGTACATACTGCCATTATGAGAAGAGAGTACATATACTCAGTGCTTTTTCAGTTGTCCTTCCCCGTAGCAGCATTTCAGACCTTACACATCTGTTGTGATCTCAGTTGCCTTTGGCTAGGACAACTTTTGTCTAATGACAGGACTAGTACTGTTTGAGGAGGAGGAGGTGGTACAGAGACGTCTGAGATGCACAACTCATGGTGGAATCGCTTTAAAATACTCAAATTCTGTAATATGAAAAACAAAAATAAAAGCCCCAGTGGACCAGTAAAAAAAGTGGACCAGTAAAAATCTGAAGTGTTCTTTGACTATTTAGAATAGGATCTTGAGACATTTCTTTTGGTTAGAAAAGATTTAATCTCTAATGAAATTGAATTTTACATCGTTCATAGGACATATTTTTTTATGGAAGAGAAATGATGCAAGTTTGTTTGCCGCACCTTGTATTCATTTTTAGAAGAGATGAAAAACAGAAGTTATTTAGAACAGTTATTTAAAAAAAAAAAAGTTGCTCTCATGTTTCATCTTTTCATCCTCGTAATTGTAATTCCAAGATTATGACGACAGACTTCTAATGGAGGATATCACACACTGTTAATAAGGAGTTTGACTTTAGTGTGGAATGAAGAGAGAAAGGGGTGGATATCTTTAATTATAAATAATGGGGGAAATCTAAGAGAGACTATGTTGTGTCATCATCTATACTTTTAGACCTCGGTATTTAAGATCCTTAAGAGAGGCTGGTCACTATAGTAATAGCTGCTGTAGACATGCTTAATAGAAAATGAGTAAAGCGAAGATGGAAGTGTGTTTTCCTGTTTAGTAAGTTAAATGCAGCAGGTTCTGCTATCAGAGGATTTTAGAACAATAGCTGACATCTTGTGTACTAAAACAGTTACATGTATGCAAGTTTTGAAGTAGATCATGAGCATTAACTCTTAAGCTGCTTGGAGTAAAAAATTATTTTTATGTATCTATAAATACATTCACACATCAGTAACTTTCTTATGACGCTGATTTCTATAGGACACGAGTAGCTGGATTTATGGCTGTATAAACAGTAATTCATCTATGTGGTGAGTATAAATGGTTCCTGTTTTTATTTAACTAGATCTTGTAAGGCTATGGTTGGGTGTCCAAGCATGTAAAGTATACCAGCTTATGAAGGAGGAGATTGGCAAGAAAAGTAAAGTTATTGCTATGAACAACTCGTTTATTTTCTCTGTCGTCAAGAAAACAGGACAGAATAGGCTTTCTCAAAATCTCTTTAGAATCCTGCGACAGAAGACATACCAAGTGTCATTCAAAGCCTTCAGAAGAGTGGATTGAATCTCTGTCTCTCCTTTTTTTAATATTCCAAAACTGCTGTTGTCATATGAAAATAATTAGAAATGTAGATGATAATTTGAATCAGATCATTACAAAAAAAGAATTTAAAATTTCTATTTTTCGCACTAGCTTAGCTTACCTTTTTGAACTCTGCTCAAAGTAAATTCAATCTACTCTTTAAATCAAGAAAGTTTCCAGGTGGAACTGAGCCAGTGTATATTTGTCTGTTTTGGGATCTGTGCTGAGGCATATAGCCACAGAGTCCTGCATCCAGCTGGTAGCCAGATGTCACAATTACTTTTTCTCTGGTCCAAGGGGAAGTTGCCTGTTACTCCTTTTGTATACCCTTTGATCAGCATCAAGTCCAGGTTAGCCTAGTTCAGAACTGCTACCTAAAACCTAATCTAATAATAGTGTTTTTGCTGTGGACTACCTGAGATCAGGTAACGCTACTTAGAAAAACAAAGGTATCCTGATATTCTAAAAATCATATCTTAGGATGGCTGAATGAATGTCTTGCTGTTCAGTGTGTTAACTTAATCTAAGTGCACACAATTTTAGAACTGCTGCAAGGTTTGCAGCAGCTGGCAAAATTTGATTCAAATGGTGTATTGTGGATGTTCCCATAGGAAAAAAGGATACTTTTGTTTGTTTTTTTTTAAGATGCTAATAAAACTATATCTTAATTTAATATCTGTGCTGTCTTAATGTCTGTGCTATCTTGACTTATTAAGAGTTTTCACTATTTGTCAGTGGCTAATAACTGCTGAATGTTGTGTTATGTCTGACAAAGTTACAGCTTTGCCCATGTTGTTTTTGCAAAAACAAGATTTGCAGTATCTGAAATGATTGGAGTTTGGTAAGTTACTATGTTAGCTGACTGTAGTAGACACTCTTGTTCTTAATTTGTAATCATGGGAGTCTGTGTAGAGCTGATGTGTTAATCCACTATCATAAACTAGTGCTTGCAAAATTAATATGTTCATCCTTTAAAATGCTTGAATTTTTGCAGCCTGGAAGCCACTGATTTATCCTGGAGAGCTGAGCTACTTCCAACTGTCAAGGTATGTACTGTACGTATTTTGTAGCTGGAGAGGTGTTTAGTGGGGAAGTTGGGGATCATGGGAAAAGGATCAAAATTCTGTTCACAGCTTTGGGACATGCAGTTGTGTCCCAGAGGGAAGGGGCAGAAGAGGTGGACTTCGTCTGGGAAGTAGGCAAGGGGAAAACTAAGGGATATGATCAGTACAGAACTCTTTTTTTTTTTTTTTTTTTTTTTTAAAGGTTGTAATACTGAAACTTCAGGATTATCCTTCCTTGTCCCACGTTGTCATTTATGTACAACCTGCAGTTGGCAATAAGGTAAAAAAAAAAAAACAAAACAAAAAAAACCCGACAACAGCAACGAGATGAAACATAACATTTACTTGTTCAGAGTATTATTCCTAGCTTTCAGATGCTGTAATGGAAAGAAAAGGAAGTGTATTAAGTATATGCTAAATTACTTTGACAAACTGTAGCCCTACCCTGCAGTATGGTTTGAAGGTAACTTTGTTAATTTCTTTAAGCTTAAAAACACCTTCAGTTGATAAATTACAAACAGAAGGCATAAATACTGCTTAAAGATACAGAGCAACAGTTCTAAAACCAGTTCAGGGTTTTTGCTGGAGGTTCTGTTTTTAATTCCTTTTTTTCTTAATGTTGTGATTGCATTCCTGAATATTTAGCTTTTTGAACCATCAGTTCTCTCATCCAGCATAGCAGAGAACACTGTAGGCAATTGAAGACATCAAATATACTTTCTGGAGAGCATGCTACAGGCAGCTCAGCAAGGTCTGACACAGCAAATAGCGTGGCAGACTGAGCTGTGCAGAGTATGCTCGTACTGAGTCTACCAGACTAGTTGAGTATCTTCGTGCCAAGCCTCTCGGAAACCCAGTCACGCTCGCAGTGAATCTAAGCAGGCTTTGCATTTACTGCAAGTCTAGCGGGCCTTGCTAGTTGGCCCTGAAAATGGCAGAGCGCTGAACTTGAATTAAAAAGTCGAAGTGTATCTGACAGGCCTTTCTACAACACAAATGCAGTGTTTCTGCATCTGTGGTATAATAATCCACAATCCAAGAAACTGCTCATTGCAACTGAATGGATTTTAGTATTTTTTTTACATGAATGCTATACTTCAGGTAGTTGTGACAAAGATGCCTTGCAGTTGAATTAGTAATATACAGTGTTCTGGATAATCATGAAAAAGAAGAGATATCCTTTGTGAAACTTTTACCTGCTGAGTTGCATTTCAGCGTGAAATCCTGGAAACTGCTTTTACAAAGTAAACAAATGCTGAATTTATAATGGGAGAGGAAATAATTTTCCAGGGAACTAAATACGTATTAGAGATGGTGCAGCTCTATCTGTTGAATAGTTTACTTTGCCCTGCTTTTGCATAATAAAACTTCAGGAGATAAACTAAGGAGATCTTGCTTGGAAAACTATATTCAGGATTTGGGCAAATCACACTCTTGCAACACCCGAAAAAGAGGTGTGCCTGCAAAGGAGGGAGGAGAATCAGATTTTGATCATTCTCAGCTTTTGAATAGCCTTTAAAAGGCTGTTGCAAATGGGAGAAAGCCAAAGTAACCTGGAAGTTATGTTTAAGCTATTCAAACTTGCACTGCGGTGTGCAGGAACCAATTACCAGCCTTCCTTATTAGTTGAATGGGGAGAGATGACTTTTCAGTATTTGCATGTTGCCTTCTGCCCTGAGCCTGTGAAGAGAACTCGGCTAGAGCAAAGGCTGTCTTCTCGTGCTCAGTTTAGATATGTATTTGTTACTTCTGAATTGCAGTTTACTTTGGACTGTGAATTCTTCAAAGAGGATTCCAGAACAGTATGGCTTCCTGTAACGCCTCTTTTTTCTTTTGGTAAGTACAGCATATTACTCTTGGAAAACTGGGAAACTGCTAGTACTAACATTTTGGATAATAAACTTGCCTCACAATTCCAATGGTAGAGGTTTTTATTTTACTGAAGTTAATACCGTTCCTCTTAACGGGGGGAGGGGGGAGGAGGGAAGAAGAATTTTTTTTGTCTAACAGATATAGAAGCATATAAATCTTCAGGAAAAAACAGTCTGAAGATATAGTGAGTTCTCAAAGCATTTTATCTAACATATGAAAATAACACATTCTTACAGGGCTTTCCTCAAGGAAAATTCTATTAAATTCAACAGGCTTACTTTACAATGTACAGCTCCAGCACTTTGACCACGTAAGACTACTACTTAATGTTCTAAGTTAATGTAACCACTGTTTAGACAATATAAGCAAATACATATATAAATATATATTTTCGTTCTTGTTTTAGATATATCAAGCTTTCAAAATATATATAGAGAGCCATTGCCACTTACTCAAAGGTAAATATAGTTGTTCTCTAAATGTATAAATTTATTTAAAAAGGCATCTTGAAAATTCTCAAGATTGAAACTTGTAGAGGCAAACATCCTATCATGCAATGAGGTTTAGGCAGTACTGTTATAATCTACTCAGCTGTCTCTGCCAATATCTTTCACCTTTCACTTCTTGTTTGCTTTTGATTATCCTTCTTAACAAGGAAATATTCTACTTTGCTTCCCAGCAAGGGAAGTGACACTTTCAGCAAGATTCTTTTTATGTTGAAAGTGTTTGTCGAGAATTGGATGTTGGCTAGGATTTTTTTTTTTTTTTTTTGCTAATCTGAGTGTTGAGCTACATGAACTCAGATAGAGTCGGATGTTAAAGGAGTTCATTTCAAAAAAAAAAAAAAAAAAAGGTGGATTTATTAGCTTGATGTTACAGCTGTATATTGAAAAACAAAATTTTTTTCATGTCTGTCCTGCCTTGAAATATTAGTATCTCACTGCCTTGCTCAGTAACAGCGTGTGTTTAAAAAACAAACAAACAAACAAAAAAACCTCATTTTTGGTCAATGTCAAAGTAACTGCAAGCTCAGTGATTTTGTATAATGATCTGTATGCCACTTTTGTTTCCCTTGCATCTTTAAATTCTTATGGTGAAGTTTTACCAGGCCAAACTTTATGGATAGAAGTATAAAAAGTAACACTATTAGTGTAGAGCTACACATGTGTGGTTGGGTGTGATTTTAAGGAAATGACACATAGCAAAGGTTTTGTCTACATACAGAAGGATGACTATTAAATTTGCTTCATTTAGTTTTTGCAGATGCTTGCCATATCTTGTTCTTAATGATAAAATTTGAATTCTCTCCCTTTTCAGAAAGAAAACCTAGTGTTTACAGACTTCATATACCCTGGTCACATGAAGACTCAGTAACTGTAGCTAAGTAAGGATTTTAATAATTCTAATTTATTTTTTCATATCTTTTGGAAGAAAGTTTACCTCCTTTTGTGACAGTATTTGTGATGAAATTTGTTCACCAGTCTTAAGTGTTTGGCTTCTGCGTCTTTCCCTCATTTACCTTTCTGCCCTTGTTGACAAAGAAGCTCTTTTGACTTTTCCTCAAAATAAGTGCACCTACTAATAGATCTGCTAATTGCTTGTTTAATAGTCCTTACTATTTTCTGAAAATGGAAGTCAGATCTGATCTGAAATTTTCAGCACAATCTTTGAGGTCCTTTTGGTACATAACAGTAGGTTACATATCATTATCTAACTCTTGATGATTTGTTACTCTTCAGTCATGTTTTAAAAACCTCTGCAGCTGAAGTTTTAATATCAGACAGCGTTTCAGGTAGGTATGTAGTGTGAATACCTAGGCTTTTCTGCTCCGACTTCATTATCAGTGTGTGATTACTCTGCCTTGAGGAAATACTGTTTGCGTAAAATAAGTTTGTATTCTTTGTTTAACATGTACTAAAAATTAAACAGTGATACTTGATAAGCTTTTGGACAGCTAAATATTTATGATCCTGTGCAGCCCTTTTTCAAAAATCCTTCCAAAAAATCTCCTTACCAATATAGAAAGCTTAACCAATTTTGAAGTTATGATGCAAAATTGGTTTGTAATTGTATTGATTTAGATAGATTAACTACCCTGTTTTAATTTGCAATCTGATTGTACAAACTGTATACCAACTTTTTTACATGTTGTCAACTACCTGATATAAACGTTGGACCTCAGAGGGCCAAGGGAGAGTGAGGAAGGAGTAGCGTGTGGAGACCCACCTCATGAGTAGGGAAGAGAGGTTGATCTGGTTACTGGCTTCTTCCCCTAGCATTGGGTCTGGATCACCTGGGAGCACTAAGCTGCTTCACCAGCATAGTCCTGGCATCAGAGCAAATTGTATGGCTTGAAACATGTGCTATTCATGAATCACAGTTGAATAACTCCATTTAACATCAGATAGTGGGAAAACTGTCTTCCTCTTTTTATTTTAGAGGCCTTAAGGATACCTCCCTACGTTTTTCCTATGTTTCCTACTCTAACGACTTAATATTTGCAGGAAACGGAATGGTATTCTGGAGTCTGTCCTACCTATTTTCTTTACGCAGCTAGCTCATTTACAAGTTTTATGAGGCAGTGTGTACACTGAAACTGAATTTGCTGTCTCTTTTCATTAGTATCATGGCCCTTGCTAGTTCAGAGGACACTGAACTGAGAATGTAATGTAGTTCTTTGTGATAGACTAGACAGGTTCAAAATATCATTAGCTGTTGTGGCACTTGATAAATGAGTTCCGTTTTACGTGTTCTTGGTGAAGGCTAGCATGCGTTTGACTTTTTTGATTATGAGTAAAAGAATTACCAGTTAAGTTGCTATTTCAGAGTTCCATCTTTTACTGAGATTTCTGCAAAACTGCATGTTGCGCAGCCTGGAAATGACAGCAGCGTTCCAGTGTTAAATATTTACTCTTCCTCAGACTGTCAGTATGAAGTGAGTAATACAAATTTATTTTATAGCTAGTTTGTATTTCTGTGTGATTTTTGGCTTTACTTCAGTCTTTCAAATTGTGTAGGTAATTCAGCAAAGCAAATACTAATCACATGTAAAGGTGGGATGTTTGCCCTTTTTTGAACGTAGCGCGTGTTAAAAGTATTTTGCAAAAACTGGGGCACTATTGAACGTTTGGCTCATTTTTAAGGAAAACTTTAATATAACTTGCTTTTTAATGAGATCACTAGTCAGCTGTTGTACATCTAAATTATGGGATTGCTGTATTCTAATACTGTAGTTGACTTTTGAAAATAAGTTTTGTATGTATGCTTACCTTTGTACAAAATAATACTTAACAAAATATTTGTTGTTTTTTTGTTCATCAAGATAATTCTGAAGACATCACTTTTACAGATTCTTGGGCAAGTAAGAAAATATTCTAATACTAGATTTTATTTTTCTATCAGTAGTATCTATACAGTTTTTCCTTCTTCTCTTCTCCCCCTCCCCTGCTACGGCACCTTAAATTCCTTCTTGGTGCCAAGAGGAATGATATGTTGAAGATGCTGTTTAACGATCAGTTAAAAACCTTATCACTTAACAAGGCGTCCTATTTAGATAAATGTTAAGCCTCAGCTTTTAGAGAAGTAGAAAAGCACTCTAGTTAGAGAGAGCTAATATAAATGATTGTTCAGCATTTAGTTAACCTAGTATCTGTAAAGGGATGATACTGTAGGTCATCTTTAATTTGCCTGATGAGTCAGTCATGTGTGAAGGCTTGAAATTATATTTGGCATGGAACAACAACTAAAGAAAAGGTCTAAGCAGAACCATATATTCCTTTTTTTGGCAAATTTTCTTTGTTCATACATGAAGAATACGTTTGCACTTTGCTCTCAGTAAAAATAGACTAGCCATCTGCAGTCTTCTGATTCTAAAAACCTAAGTGTAGTGCTGAGTATTACTGACCAGAATCTTTAAATATATGCATTAATATCAAATATTCTTAATTATGTTGACCTTTCAGAAGAGTTCGTATGCTATCTATATATATAATCAGATATCACTTCATGCCTTGGGGGCAGTGGGGAATACAAGTAAAACACATGAAATGACGACTCTGAAAATTCTTTGCCCCCGAGCATGTGTAGCTGTATGCACGTATTGCTTGGAAAGTGGCTTTTTGCTTTGGATGTTTTTATTTTACTAAAACGCAATTAACATGCTGCTATATGCTTTTCACATTTGTCTTGACTGGAAAAAAAAGGTATTCTGTTTACAAATTGGTCCTTGAACAAAACACACGTGGGTAGACATGAGAGATCTGAATATTTTCTGTATATAACTTGGTTATCGAACATGGTTATCAAATAGTCGTGCATCAAAATGGGAAATAGCTTGCATCCTTCAAAAAAGATTTTTCCAGTCACATTATGATAGTTACTTCATGATTATTGTATGCGTGTGTGTATACATATACGCATATATAAAAATCCTTATATCCTTGTCTTCCAGATAATAAGGTTCCATGGCTGCTCTCTTCCTGTCTATGTTGTTGCTAATATTCTTCTTACCTATGGAGGCCAATTAAGCACATTGATATCAACAGGTAACTTTCTAGACTTTTTTTGGTCACAAATGTTTTCCAACAGTAAATTGGATAAGTAATTTCTGTAAAGACTAGTTGTTGTGGTCATTTTTAATGTTAAATATCACTGCGCTTGTACAAACACTTGCCTCTATCACTTCAACTTCAATTTTTGTTTGTTGGTAGTTCTCCAAGGTTGGTTTCTAGCAGTGTTAGACTTACTGTTTTTCTCTGCTGTCCCTTCCTTGTAAGTGATTGGTGTGTTGCGCAGTATTGTAATATTAATAGAAGTTTGCATAAAAGTACATGTAAAAGTATAAATATATTGTTAATATGCACAAAATACCTTAATCTTGCATGAAGATGAGATTTGCAGACTGGCTTTTTCAGACGCATCTTGTGACAAAATGGCATTTTTATTAAAAGTCAGGTGGTTATTTGTCACAAACTCAGTAATCTCACTAAAAGTTATTGTGCCATGTTACTTGAGTGTGAGTGATCCGGTGAATAAGGGCATTGATGATATAACATTAGTGTTATAAGACGCGGTTATCTTGTTTTAAAGTCAACTTTTAAAGTTTGTCTTAATTTACTCTCTGTTGTTGAGCTTCTGTGTTAAAGTTTATGTCAAAGTATTAATTATTAATGCTTTCTGTTCTTGATTCTAGGCCAGTGTTCAGAATTTTCCCTTGAACTGGTTAGGTCAGCTAAACCGTACAAAGTAGACCCTGTTATAAGCATTGTTGTGTTTCTGCTGGGGTAAGTTTGATTTGGTTTTGGGGTATTTTTTCTTTTTGTTTGCTTGCTTGTTTGTTTGTTTTTAAGCAGCTTCCAAAACAGAAGTTTCAGGAAAAATATTGCTGGGGAGGAAGAACACTTTATTTGTACTCAGTGTGGTCTTTTGATACCTGACTCTGATTTTGTTTGAAAGGCTGTATTGTAGGAAGACTAGTTCATATATATCTTATTGTAATGGCAACTGGAGGTGATAAGTAATACTGCTTTCATGTTTTTGGCAGGTTTAACTGGTTTAGAGAGATATGGGATTCACTGTCACTACCAGAGGTGGATGCTGCTGTACTGAGTAGTCAGGATGCATGGTTCCCCCTTGTGTCCCTGATTCTATTTCTTTTTGGGGCAGGCATTGCATACTGGAGTGGTGTATTTTTCTCTTCGTCTCTGAGACTCTTCTCTTCCTTATGGTTAACTCTAATAAGGTAAAACAACATTATAATGATGCTCTTTTAGATGATTGAAACACTGTCAAATTTTTCTGTTTGTTCCAATGTGAATACTTGGGCAGATCAAATTCAGCAATGCAATTTGTACCTGGTTTTAGCCATCTGGATTTGTCAACGTTAAGCACTAATGAAATATGTGGATTGCATCATATTCCTTATTGCACATCTTCAAAAGGGAATGTAAATTGCTTTCTTGTTTCCTTCACCAACTGTTGGAAGATTTGCAGTTTGTTTTTGAAGAAACCTTGTTGGGGAAAAGAAAGCAACTGAACTATTTCATGTTAGGCCTCTCAAAGAATAAATATATATATATTTAGAAAAGGGATTACAAGCATTGCGATGTAGTAGTCATTGTTCGGTATCGGACGATCTACATTATGGAATGCGAACAGATTTGTACAACAAAAATTTCTTGGGCATTAATTTCAGTCTTCAAGAATGGTAAATTTTACAGATGATGTCTAAGAACACTGGAATTTTATGTGTTTACAGGTTAGTACTCAAATATGAAAGGAGGTTAAAAAATAGGAAAGAAAAATGATAAGTGTTTTGAAAGAAGAGTAAATTAGTAAATTGGATAATGTGCTTAGCTGTTTTAATTGTTTGACTGTTCTCACACTGACACAGTCCTCAGCTAGTTTTGAGCCAACAGAAACTTTCTTTCTCTGGAAAGTTAGTGGGGTTACTCTACTCAGAAAATACACATTATATAAACTCTTTTCTGTTTTCATCACTAGCTCTTCTGTTGTTATTCTGCCGAATAATGCGTGTGGTGTAAGCCATTTCTTCTCAGCCCTCTTGTTTATAAAATTACAGTGAGGTAGGAAACTTCAGTAATGATTTTAAGTGGTGAAGTGGTTCCCTTCTAGTTTTGAGTTTACTCTTAATACATTTTTGAGGATTTTTTTTGTTAGCTCAGTTATTCTCTTTTCATTAAAACTTTTGATTACTAGCAAATCCTAAGAATGTCTTGGACAGAGGCAGGAAAATAGTATTTTTGTGCAGTCTGCCTGTAAGTCAACTAGTTCATTTTGGAATTCCGCTATCTTAGCACAGGTTCTGATCTAGTCCTGAATTTCTTGAAAAAACATTTCTTTTCTATAAGTCATTCTAAAGTAGACAATGTTTACTTGGATTTTGATCAAAATTCTGAATTGAACTGATAAGGCCAGGAGCATGTTTGTCACAAAGTTAATCTCTTGTAGGCTTAGCATGTTGCTGTGCTGTCATTGAGCACTGCGGTGTATTAACATTTGCAGCGGGAGTCACTTGCATGATTTAACTCTGCAGTAATAATAATAATAATAATAAGACAAGCACTGCGGCGTATTAACATTTGCAGCGGGAGTCACTTGCATGATTTAACTCTGCAGTAATAATAATAAGACATTGGTTCTCTTGGAGCGAACTTAATGACTGGTGCAGATCTAGAGTTAGCATTCTCTAAAGGTTTATGTTCACCAAACTATGTTCCCCAAATTAAGTGGCGCATTACAGACCTACCTTCTCAGAGCTGTAACATTGTTTTGTTAGTTTGTCTGATAAGCAAGTTGTATTACAAAGTAGCTTACCTAGCAGTTGGTATATATGTTACAGTTCAGCTAACTTTATTTTTCCAGTGGTTGATCAATATTTAGGAATGATTAATTGTTTGCAGCCATTCCTGAAACAGAATTATTCTTTAATCTTTGGAAATTGGATTTTACTACAAGAGTATAACATCAGTTTTGTCTCTCTCTCTTTTAGACCTTCTGTACTTCAAAAGGATAACAAGCTGATTACACCCAGAAGAGTGTGTGTGGTGGTGTCTCTTGCTTTGGTTAGCTGGACCACTTGTGGTGCATTTACTATATTCATTATTTATCTTCGATATGTGTTTAAGGTACTGAAAGGCTAAATGTTTGGACTGATACGTGAATATAAAATGTTGTTTGCTTTGAATTAACCCAGTGTTAAAAGCAAAGAAACAAGTTACCCTTTTTCATATTTAAAATAAATGTTGTTATTCACAGACCTGAAATTTTTTTGGTACTTATCAAAGACTTTCACACTTACGTGATTTTCAGAATTATTTTGTTCTTCTGAGAATTCTTCCAAAAAAACTATATGGCCCCATATGCCCACTATAATAAGTCATATAAATATACTTTTTAACTTATGGGTATGTAATATTATAAAATCAAAGACTAGTAACTCTCTTGAACAGAAATTTTAGTGGAGGGGGCTTGGGATGTTCTGTAGGATACCTATTTTTAAAGAGTCTTTATACAAATCCTTATGGAGTAAAGAAAGAAGGGTGGGTATGTAGATATATTGTAGAATTTGGGTAGTCTTATTGTATGCCTGATTTGATCCTTTGGCTAGTACCACGGGGACTCGCGTTTAGTCCCCCACCGTCTATTTTCCATGGTCTCCGTGGCATCAGAGCAACTAACTTATCAGATTCGCCCTATGGTTATACAGCTACTACGCTTGGCTACAAGGGAAGCACTGGGGGCATGGAGCTGGCAGTAGGGCACAAAGCAGAGCACCCTGCTTGGGAGCAGCCTGCAGCGTGACTGAAATACGTAGGTGACAGCTGAAACCACAGCCTGAGGAGCAGTGCTGTTTCTAAATATCTTGAACTCCCTAATGATGTAAGGTTACCCTGCGAAGGACACTTCCCTGCTGACACTCCTCCTACTTCTGCAGCAAATTCTCTGACATTGGACTACTTTTATGTGGCCTGTTTATGGGTTTCTGTGGAAGGAGAAGCAGAACTGAGTTAGTAGAAGGGAGGAGGAGGCAGTGAGGAATATGCAGATTCTCTCCTGTGCACTATCAAGCGCAATGGAACAGGAGAAAGTAGAGCAGCCCAATTTCTTTCTCTGTGCGTGGTAACTCTTCCTTAAGGGAGAACTTGGGATGCTGCTATTATAAAAGTGGGGGGAGCTGCTCTTGCACTGCAACTCCACTGGGGCCCTGGAACCAGCTAGCTATGAAATGAGACAAAAAGCTAGCCCAAGAATTTTTTTCTTGTATGCTACAGCTTTCATATGAATAAACTATTAATAAAGTCAAAATGTCTGTCTTGCAGGTTATTAAACTACATGTAAGTGTAAGAGCAGAACAAAACACGCTTAATGGGGTAGGTTCATTTCCTGCCTGTGTTCAGATAAATGATCACAAATTATGTGGCAAACCTATACATTAGGAATTGGTAGTATCTTGCCTTGGTAGCATAAGATTGGAAAGAAAACTAAAAGCTGCTGTGATGACTGGATGGCTGTAGAATTACTTGCTGTGTGTATGGTGTGAAAGAAAAGCCAAGGCATGAGTAGTTTGTTCCATCACATGTGACTATTTGCATTCACTGTTTCACTGCCCTGTGAACTTAAGTGAGTTTAGGAAGAAAATTTAGTCTCTGAACACATATAGAACAGTAAGTTTTTCTGTCTAAATTTTGGTATTTGATTGTGCACCTGTGTATATCTAAAGAAATAAATTCCAGATAATAATTACACTACAGGTACATATTTTTTCCAGATAGGAAGTTTGTAGGGGTTTATTTTTCTTTTTTTAATCAGGAAAAGACAAATATTATTTATTAGATGGATATGGACTGAAACGGCAGTAAACTGTTGAAAAGGAGTGAAGAAACAATGTATCATTGGGTTTTATACTTTTTGAATTCTGTCTCTTTTTTCAGTTACTTTAACTTATAGGATCTAAAATAAATGCATACGCGGATACATGTATGTAATAACTACCTGTCCTTTTTCCCAAACTTAAAATCGAAAAAGCTGTCTGCCAGCAAAAGTTGTTGAAAGTTTTCTTTGTTTTTCTTTTGGGGCGGGGGGAGGGTTAAATCCTCTCGCTTTCTTTTTTCATCTCCATATCATGGTTTCTTTTTCTTTTTTTTTTTTTTCTTTCTTCTGTCATTGGAAGTTAACATCTGCTTTCCCCTCATTAGTCTATTTTTGTTATGCCTACAACTTACATCTTACTGCCACTTGCATTACCTTCTCAGTTATTTTCATGAATTATCATCTGTGATTTTCACCTGTATGCTTTATTATTCTTTTCATTCTGTTCTTCCTCCTTCCAAGAACTCCCTTTCTCATCACTACAATTGTGTCAGGGTTTCTCCACTCTCCATTCTTTTTTTTCCAAAGATATATAAACTATTAATGTAAGGGAAGTTGCTGGTTGAGCTTAGATGCTTTAAAATTGAACTACTGAGCTTTCCTTTTGATGGCTTTTTGAGGGGTAAATTGCAAATCTTCCTAAATAAGAGCTGGTATGATACTGTTAGGATAGTGTTTCCCGCCTCCTCCTCCAACATGGGCTCTTATAAGCCAGCGCATGTTTTCATGATTTGTGTCTTTTATTTTCAGGATTCAGAGCACTCAAAAGAAACTTCACAGAATGCCATTAAACACACAGTCAAAAAACAAAGTTCAGTAGATGGTACATCAGAAGCAACGCAGTTTCTCTGCAACAATAGAACAATTGCTGAAGATGTCAGCACTCTTAGGATGCATGTTACAATGCTCAATTTATTCACATGGATTGTGCTGCTCAACTTGCCATCTTTAATTTATTGGTTAAAAAATCTCAGGTAACATATTTAACTGCGATTAACGGCAAAAAGAAAGAATATGAACTTTTCTAACAAGAAGGGAGTCAAAATTACAAATATTTGACTCTTCATTTTATTATTTACCTTACTGTAGCATCTGTCTTCAGTTAACTTATAACAATAGTTTTTCTGTGTAATCTGGCTTGTGTAATGGTATAAGTAGGTCTTAAGTGAATCAATGATGTGTTTAAGAAGGTGATGATTCATAAACAATTTAAAATCAGGCTGTGATGCCATATACCTTTCATATGTTGTTTGAATTATTAGCATATGCTTGTTCCCAATCTGGATTTCATTTAATAGCGTAATTTCTGTAGTAGGATGCAGTCATTTAAAAATAACATACTTTTTAAACCAGTTCACTTTTTTGCAGGTACAATATTAGACTTGATCCTGATCCATGTAGATCTACAGCTATTATCCTTGTATCAATTTTAGAAATTCTCATGAATTCAAGCACTTCTGAAGTGAAATTAAGGTAGTGTAGCCTAATCCCCAGTTTTTTTCCTGCTTCTTTCTCCTACTTTAGTTTCTGTGTTAAAAATGTTTGTACTGTGCAGACTTGTACAGTCCTCATAGAGATTCATAAACTCATATGGTTACATCTTAGAAAGAAGAGCTGAGTAAAATGCATGCAAGTTACCTGTAGTTCAGTTAAATGGAGAAAATGACCTGTATTTACTACATGGACTAGATGAAGTACTTCCTATCTAAACAATCAGTTGCATAAGGAATTCTTGACTACTGAATTTTTCATGTACTATTCAATTAATCCTTCCAAATGTTACAGAATCCTAATGTATCTTAGTAGTTACCATTGGAAAGTGGCAATGAAAAGTGGAATTTAAACCATTATAGTTATGTTCTTGTAACTCCCCCTTGTGGGCACACTTGCAGAAGGGTAACCTGTGCTTTCTACTGAATTAAGTTTTGAGCGCTTGGTTTTGCGGACAGACATTTCTTGTTCAGATAGAAAATTTGTCAGTGTCCGTGAAAAATTATGAATAATAAACAATGTAGTTTATCCTTTTGCAGTATCCTGTTGCAGTTCCTGCAACTCCTGTTGAGTTTAGAACTCAAAGGCTCTAAAATACTGACTCTTTCGTTGTTACAGGGAATTTTTTCTAAATTAATGTAAGAATATTTTTAAAGGGAATTTTAAATATGTTTAAATATGTTTTTCTGTAATTACTCTTGCTATACAAGAATTGTTTTTGCCCATTTAATCTCTTTGTTCTGTTTTAAAAAATGGTAAAACCCTTGAAATCTATACTTTATTTTTTAAAAGAAAGTGAAATACGGTATTTGCATATCTTATGCTGCAGTTGGGGCTACAGAAATGGTTACTTTTTTTTTCTTATCTTCTTACAGTAAACTCTTGAGGATGGCAGCCAAAGTTCCACTCCCTTTGTCTGTTGCAATGTTGGCCTTTGGGCGAACGCATTTATACAAAGTACCGCACTTCGTAACTTTTTCTCTTCTTCTCCATGTACTGTGTTGTATTGTGTAATGTGTATTTTACATATGAAGAATGGTGCAGCCTAGAAACTAACACTGGAGACGGGGCAAGTTTCAACAAAGAAAAGCTTAGATTTATATAATCAATAAATAACATGATTTGGGAAAGATGACAGAACTGTGAATACTTTATGAAAAGTTTATGTTCTTTTCATAATGCTTAGAAAGCTTCTCATGGTATTTATTTCCTGATTGGAAAAATTAAAGTGAATTATGTGCATCTAACATATCAATATTCTATTTGCCTTGCAGACACTTTTTATATTTCACTTTGTTGAAACAGACTTTTTTTACTCAGTATGCTGGTACAGTGTGTATGTTCAGAACTTGCTTCTTTTGCAGTTCTAAAGTATGCTGGTTAAAACGTAAAACAAGTTTAAGCACACTGTGACTACCACAAAAACTACACCGCCAAGTATACTTTTAACCCATTTTATGCTACATTTATAAGCTGCCACAGTTGTATCTAGGTAAACTAGAACTGTACTGCTTCTACAGAACTGTTATTTCTAGCAAATTATTTGTTCAATCAGTGTTAGTTGAACATTTGTGAGATAATTGAAAGTCTTACACGTTTTACTTTTTGTGAGAGTGATAATAATGCTCTGTGTAGCTTTCTATTCAGGAAAGTTACCAGCAGATTCATAAACAATTTGCTATAATGTTGTTTTAAAACATTGCCAGTTTTCTCTAGAATGTTGTCAATTCTGAAATTAATTCTTGGGGCTTATCCGTATGTAGAAGCTAGCAAATGCTGAGGCATGGTGCAAGTTTACAGTGCAGTTGCTATGCTGTGCTTTGTTTCCAAGTAGACACGGCAGGGTTTCTTCCTGAGCAGGGTAAATGGAGAAGCAACTGTCTTACAGCAAACGTCCACACAAGGAATTAATGTGGAATAGCTGCATTATTGTAAATTCATGTCCTGCCTGTGCTAAATTCCTTGTGTGGACAAACCCTTACTAATAGTGAGAAATATTGACTGTAATTATTGGGTCTGTATAAAGTATTATCTTAGTGCCTAGATGCTACAGTGACTGCCTTTTATATTAATGGTCAAAATAGCTGTCTGTAAGGAAGTCTGTCCCCTGGATATGCATTTGCTAACAAAAGAAATTCCACTGACCATTAGGTTAAAATGATCTGTAACTATTAAAAATGATGTGTTGATTCTGTGTAGATATGAGCTTCTGTGTTACTTCCTTCCATGTTAGCTGTCTCCACCATATCTGAGGCACCTGTCGTCTTAGTACGGAAATACTAGACCAGCTTAATCATCCTACAATATGGATAGTAACAGGAAATCTGCTGCTCACAATCAATTTATAGTATGTTCTTCATATACTAGTAGGGCTTGACCCATTTATTTTATTGTATCTCATCATTCTTGCCTGAAGTGCCTCAGTTCTAGCTTGTTTTTAGGGTCGACTCATTTGAGCTGGTTGGGAAGACTTAACCAGTTCCTGCAGTGACCTTCCAAAATGAAGGACGAATGTGAAATAAGCACTTATTTTGTCACCTCATAAGCAAGCCAGCAGTTCAAGCTATCAGTAAGTCATTAAAACTGCTTTAACTGAATAAGATTATTGGTAGTTAAACCAATGTCACTGTTATCCGTTATCTATGTGCAGGTCTTCTAGTCTTAACATTTTATATAAAAGGCTAGATTGTGCATAGTGTTTGTAATCAGAAAAGCTGTCTGAATAGATTATATCTTGATACCTTCCTTCTAACTAAATGTATGCTACAGTATACGCATATGGGATAACTTATGTGTGTATATATTTGTAGCTAAAATCGAACAGTCCATTTAACCTAAAAATTACTATTCCAACATAGAAGAATAGAGTAGATTTTCTACTATGCAGTGGCTGTTGGTGAAAGATCATGACAAAACTGCATAGGGGCTGTGGTAAAAGGCCTTCTGTGAAATGTGCAAGATCTGATTTCTGTAGAAGGTCATTTCCTTGGCCTATATGGGTCCTTTTTGCTTACTGCTGTATTGTTCTTCTAATTTTGGTTTGCCATCTTAATTAGCTCTTTGTTCTATGCGCGCAACCCCATTTGTCTTAGTGATTTTGTTGGAGCTGCAGGTGGAATAAAATAATAGAATAAGAAAAGTTAACAGTCTAAGCATATAGTAACTTTGACAGCTTTGAGAAAGACTTCCAAAATTTGCCCCACTATGAAACATACTAAATTGTAGCAGCATAGAAGAACACCACATTTTTCATCTATCAATATTTTTCTGAAGCCAGGGATTGTGTTAATACTTGTTAGCATTCTTCCTTGAAACAGGTTATAGAATTTTGTGTAGTGATTCCTACATGACTTTCAAATCTGAGGTAGGAATAGAACATACATTTTCGGAAATCCTGAGTCCAAAATCCCAAATGACAGGCTTTATCACATCTCCCTTGATGCTCCTTTTTCCAGAGGTTACTTACCTTCATTTGGCAGGGTGGGGGGTGGGGGGAAGTCTTATTGCTAGTTTGAATTTTCTATGCTTCCTCTGTCATTTACTAGATGAAAACCTTGTTCTCAGAGAGGTGTGTCTGGATTTTGTAGATAGTGGTTGTGGACTGTCTGTCTTCAGTTGCTTGAGAGTTAGGCATCTCCTCCCAACTAGACCCATCGGTGCATCTACTCTCAACTAGTGGGGGAGGGAGTGAAGAATACAAGTCCAGAGAACAATTCATTCCACCCTAAGAGATGATGAATGATACGACCTGCCATTCTGAAAAAGACTGGATTTTATAAATGTCTAAAATTGTCTTTCAGGTAAATACAAGGATTGTTTTTCTTCTTTTTGGAGAAGTTCCTGTCCTGCAAATTTCTAGTTCTGCCCCCGTTCGCTATTATAATCTCAGTAGAAATGTAGGTTAACCCACTATAAGAGCTTTTAATTCACTGTATGAGGAAGTTTAAACATTAATGAGGTATCCTTTATTATGAGCAGACTGGATTTATAAAAAAGTTCTTTGGCAACTGGAATGTCTCTTAATATCTTTAACTAAATTAAATTTGTAGTTTATTCTTCTAATTTTAGGCTATCTAGACTATATGGGAGAAGAGGAGCAAGATGCAAATGAACTTGTGATGGATTAGAGGAACTGTGCTCTATAAGGGAAGATTTCTGTTAACATGCATTCCCCAATTCCATTGTTCTCTCCTTTTTCAGAAGTTGAGGTATTAATTTTGCCAAACTGCTGCTCTTCATCCATGTGGATGTTCACCACAGTTAGATGGAGGGTATGCTGTCAAAACAAACGTTTTGTGGCTTGTACTTGCAAATCCATTCAATGTAAGAATTATTTGTGTGGCTCTTTTCTACTATTTTATAAGCTTTCAGAAAGAGAATAAAAAGCAGGATAAGAACCTAGAGTACCAAATATTACTAGTTTTAAGTACAGCATATATGTACAGCAAAATCAGTGCTTTCTTAGTGGGTTTTACTGAGAACCTTTCAGTGACATCTCCATTGGTTGAATTGCTCTTGATCTCTATAATCGTTTCTGGTTGGTGTGATTAACCATGCAGGTTTTTTCCTATGGTCTTATCACACTGCAATAGCACTAGCTACACATATAGTTATCAGTTCATAATGAGTCTGTTTGGTAAAGGAAAAAGTGTTTCCTCTTGACCGAATGTACCAAATGTACCTTGAAACTGAATGAATATTGTCCAAAGGTAGTATTTTCGGTTCCCATTTAAACGGGGGTTTCAGTTTGTCATGTGTCAGCATCATCTTAAACGGGGATTTTGTTTTTTGTTTTTCCAAGAAAATTGCAATAACAGGCTTTTCAGTTACTATTATTTTTAATATTTAGAGTTCTGCTCTGATTTTTGAGTGAACTGATACATGTAACAATTCATTCTGAAATATTCATTTGCAAAGTTAAAACAAAAGAAAACAAAGCCCAGCTGAAGAGAGTAATTGTAATACATAGCAGAAGAAGCGGAGACTTCCTGTATGTTTCTGCTTGAAACAAAACAATGTTAAGTGAAGTTCTCATCTATAAACTAACTGGGTTACCTTTAAAGTCAGTGTTTAACAAAAAAAGTGTATTCATGCTTTTTAAAAAAAAGCATTATTACATAGGTTGATATTTAGTTTTCCATCTGTTTGCCTGTAACAAGCTTATAAGCTTGTCACTCAGCCTTTTTCTGAAACCTGATACATCTGCTCTCTGAGCCCTGACAGGACAGAATAAAGTTAAATATGTGCTTGTGAACAAATGTAAACGTTTCAGAAGACTTTATTTGATCAAGCTTAGTTCAGTACAGTGATGACAGAGTTCAGACAGACAGAGTTCAGTCTTACTTACACTGAAAAAAGAGAGCAGCCATTTTATAGACCTTCAATACTCTAATTTACTGGAAACGTTTTGTGGGGGGAAGGTTACAGTGTTTGTACAATAATTGTGCTGCTGTTTTAAGTCACTAAGCTACTAGAAAAAAGCCTAAATTCTATAAATTTACTAGCCTAAGTTCTTAAAGTTTCTTCTACGTTTCACAATGAATTTTAGACATTTAGTTTTCGTGTTTGGCTCTTTACGTTCCCTTGTGGAAAATAGTTGAGGTAGCTTTTTATAAACAGCACTGTACTAGAAATGGTTTTAAAACTTTCATCCCTGTTCCATTAGGGGGAGATATACTTCTGTCACCAAAGCTACATGCTACTCTTCTATACCTCTGGATATGTTTGTTAATTGTCATTCATTGGCAAACAGATTGGTTTTTATGTTAAAGTTAAATGGTTTTTCTACTTTTTTTTTAGAGTTAGAACGTTAAGCTAGTATTCATAATAAAGTATTTAAAACCTCTGAAAGTTTATTTGAAAACCTTTTACAAATATTTGTCTGACACATTTTTGTTTATGAAAGAATGTAGTGAAGGCTTTTAATCAGCTCATTTATCTTAAAAACTTAAATAAAATGTATACATTTTTATCTGGTTAATAGACATTACTGCTTTTGTTTAATAAATTTGTAAGTGGTAGGGAAGAAAATTCTATAGCTTTTACTTAAGGAAATCTGTCCAGGGCTTCAGCTCCTCAGGTATCTAAGCGTGTACTTGCCTCAAGTATGTGCTTACTGCATTGTAACATGGAAGCCTGAGTCAAAGCTGTGATGTTTGGACCTTAACTTAGTTTAAGATTTCCGGTTTCGTTCTGCAATCTTGTATGCATACAGGTCTTGCAACTAATCCTATTACAAACAGGTCTTGTAAGTATGGCTTCTCTGCAGTTACTGACTGACTGTGGTCTAGATTCTGTAAGAATCGGGACTAATTATGTGTCTATAAAAGCCAACGGCACACAAAAAACAGTTCTTTTGTGAATTATTTTTCATAATACTAGTCTTCTGGCACATCATTCCAGCTCCTCCCTCTGTACAAAGTTATCCTTGGTTTGCAGTGCCCTTCCCCTGTAAGACAAACATAATGCTCACAGTAATAACCACTGTGACTGATGCTGTGAAGATGCACAGCCACAGTGCTGTAGACTGTTGTTCTATTGAAGTTTTGCATCTTTGAAATACCAGCAAAGACTTTTTTCCTCCAACTTCTTAAGTAATTTCAAGATTTGTATTAAGCATCAAGCTGAAACTGCAAGTGTCTTGTTTTTTTTTTTTTTAATGTTAAATCGATTATTTTGGGATTAATTGGGCGTCAGTATTTTCCATTTATGTCACTTAAGGAGGAGAAACAGTGTTTGAGACTTCAGTACCTGACAACTGAAATTTTTTACAGATGTTTATGAGAAGTAGACATGACAAGCATAATTAGAGCACCAGACCAAAATCAAAATGTGATATTATTTCCTCACTGTGATTTTAAACTTGTAGCTTTCTAGGGCAAAAAAAAAAAAAAAAAATCTGTGCCTTACACCAGTAAATTAATACACTGTAACTGTAGCCTATGGACTTCAGTGGCCTTATATTTCACTTTGAAAGTCCATTTGAGAATGACCAAAAATATTGTTGTGGATCATACTGAAACTTGATTTGGGGAAAATATTTAAAAAAAAAAAAAAAGAAAAAAGACCCTCTTTACCAACAGTAATATTTACAGAAATTAAGCATTTACAGAATGAAGATTTCTGAGAAGTACAGTACATTTGCAGGTTGGAATCACACCAACCAAAGTCAGAAAGCTTTAGCTGACCTTAATTTTTCAAGTCTTTGTATTGTGACAAAAAGAAAAATATGAAGTCTCAGATATGTCTCACCTTTTAATGTCTGTCAAAATCTCATTTATTTTATTCTTCAGTTTCTTCAGAATTAAAAAAAAAAAATCCTCTAATTGTAGCTCAAGTGAAATATTGTTGAGCAGCGGTATCTAGGCCTTGATGAAAGAAAAAAGCCAGGATGTTTTTTTGGTTGGTTGGTTTGGTTTAGTTTGCGAGAGAGTTTTAAGCTCCAGAAGTTTTGAATAGCGAATTTCACTTTTTAAGAAAAATAGTTTCATAAAAAAAATGAAACTTTTTAAAAATAGATGTATGCACTTTTTTCTTCTCTCTTCTTTAGAGAAAATCAGAAATAGTGAAGATCCTGAAATCTTGCCTTGTTATAGTAAAAGATTTCCGTATGTATAATTTTTAATACGAAGAGTTTAGGGAAAGCCACCTCTGGCTTAAATGATGTCTCCCTGTAGGATTCTTTATATGTCTTGAACAAAAACCCAGAAATTCTGACTTTATTTTTTCAGTGTAAGTAGTAACATTGGATCTTGAATAAAGATGTCATGTCTTAAAGCTTATCGTTGGACCCTGGATGTTTAGACATGCACATGAAATGACTGCACGTCAGCAGATCCCAGCAGTTGTTTAAAGCAACGCAAATCAAAGTTACTAATCTTCTTTTATTGAGAATTAAGTTGAATCTGACTGCCACAACTCTGCTGATGCCATCGCACAGCAGATAACATGCAACTTGTTTAAGTCTTCCCTGCTACTTCCTTCTTTATGTTAATTTCGGTCTTAAAACTCTTGGTCACCTAACTTTTACTCTTCTTGGTTTTGTGATTATGTTATTTCAGAAATCCTAGTTATTGTTGACTTCCTGGCTAGACAATACTAGTATTAAAATCAGTGAGAGTGCAGAACCGCCTTTATATATCCTGATGAATCTAGAAAAAATGTGCAGGCCTAGTAACTTCATTCCTTAGTTACTTTTTAATTGTTTTTCCCAGCACCAAAGCAGTATAATGTTGGGCAAAATACCTATTTAAAATGTATGAGGGCGGATGTTTGCTTTTTTGTGGGAGATAAGAGGAATTGGGTTTTTTGCTTTGTTTGTTTTATAATATGAAGAGGGCTTAAAACTTTGAAGAACGCATACGTAACCTTTGGAAAATCTATCACTTAACGAGCAACTCATCTGACTTTTTAACTCTTCCTGCTTTGAGTTCTGGTATAGCTAGTGTAAGTCTGGTGTGTTAGGTGGAGCTAACTCTAACAGTTACAGGTCTATAGAGATATTGACAGGGTCTTATCTATTAAATGTTTGAATGCTGCTGTAATAAATTAGCATGCTTATTAAAACTTCTATAAGTGAATTCTCAGATACAGTTCATGCAATGTATGATAAGCTTCAGCAAAGTCCTGGTTTTGTGAGATGCTGAGAAAACCTTGGAGAATGGCTATCTTTGACTACTGTTTGCATTACTGAAAGCTGAATTCTCAGAATTCAAAACTGTGCTCTTAAGTATTGATTTTTTTGTTGTTGTTGTTGAAGATGAGGGCAACTTAATTGGGGGCCAGACTGGGACTTTCTTTTTTTTTTTGTTTGATGGTTTCCCTGTCTGCAATGTATACGTCACTTTTTTTTTTATATAAATGCACGTGACTTGTACGCTGTATAGCATATGCTGTGCTAAATAAACACTTGTGTATGTTTCTGTATGTTGTCATAAAATGGTTGCATTAGTACAAACGGTTGTAATTCAAAAAAAAGTGCCACTTACCAGTCATACTCTGCCGTGTGTTGTGAATGTTATCTGCACTTCTGTTGTACAAATATGCTAATGACTGTAGTGGTGAACATTTGCCTTTAGTCTTTGCTCAGGTACTCATGTGGAGCAGTTTGGTGCTTTTCCTTCTAACTTGTAGAAAATAAAAACAGTGAACAAAAACGTTTGGGTTAGAGCTTTAATTTACATAATGAACACTTCTTTTTTTTTTTTCCTCTCATCATCTTGAATAGAATACAGTAAAGTCATATCTGATGAAGCCTGCTTGTTTCAGTATCTTAATCCATTCAACATAGACTTTTACACCTGCCTTTTTTATCATAATTAAAATTGCACTAAAATGAAAAATTTGTTCAGTAGCATAGTTCATATGTAGCATCATGTGCATAAAACTTGTTCTATAACTAAGCTAAATAATTAGTTATAAATATGCCTCTTACTGTAGAACAAGATTTTTACCTTGTTGAATTAACTTGCATGTAACTAAGCATGTAAATTATGTTTATGACTGTTTTCAGCTTCAGTGGAATTTAATTCAGATATGTATAAGAATTACCTGTTATGACATATTAACTATATAATTAGTATATTCACTTTCAAAATATTTGATTTGGAAAGGATGTGTTTCTGTATATGTAGTTTGCTGAGAAAAACCTAAAGCTTAAATTTAAACACATTCAAAATGTGGCACACTGACATCTGGCTTGGTAAGCTTTTGCTAAACTAGCTGCTATCCTCAGAGGAAAATGTAATTCTGTCTAATGAGTGTAACTGCACTAATAGTATTTTAATATGAATGTGTACCATTTATGTTTGACTTTCACTGAAAGAATATAGTGCAATTATCTTCAAAAAACTATTTGGCAAAAAACCCATTAAAATCAGTACTAAAACACATTTAAATCATTCTGGGTATGCTTTTAGCTCAGAAAATAACAATAAAAAGTTTATAGTTTTTTTTTTAAAGACAACATACAGAAAATAGTATGCTAATTGAATATCTTGCATATCCATATACTTCATCAGTCATCTAAACTGTCTAAATTCTGTTAGGGGATTCACAGAGGTGCTACAGCAATAATGCATGTTTCAAATTTACAGATAATTTGGGTGTGTTTTACTAGCTGAATATACTGCAATATATTCCTAAGATTTTCTTTTTGAAAAAAACGAATTACAAAAATGAGGAGAAAATAAAGAAACGGATGGAAGAAAACTGTTCTGGCTTGCTTGCCTTTCCTTTCCTTTTTTTTTTTTTTTTTTTTCCCCTAAAGTAGGGAACTAAAATTTATGTGCAAACTATACCTCAGCTCCTGCTTTTTCCTCTTCCCTTATTTCTTCAAAAGGAAAGTATTCCTACTTCCGGTTGATTTAGAGAATAAATTATATAGATGTTAAAAAGAGTGACTTTGCATACACCTCTGGAGAGGAAAAGGAGAACTTAAAGGAAAGGTAGTCATCTTGCCTTCATTGAGGTAGGACAGGTTTGAGCAAAAAGAAGTAATGAATCTCTTTTACACCTGTTCTGATTTGGACACTTAGACCCCCAAATGGTAAGGACCTGCTTAAATTTCCATTCCAGCCATCTGCTATTGCAATGATCATGTATAAAGTAAAGGTACCAGACAGAACTAGGATTGGAAGTCCTAGAGGCAGGAGATTAATATTTATAATGGAAGCAGTGTAGAAATCCTTACAAGGAAAACTTGGATAAAAACAGTATGTTACTAAACCAATAAATTAGTTATGCCAAATGTTCAGACTCCGTAAATGACTAGTGGAAAAAAAAAAAAAAAGAAGTAGCTGAAGCAGTATGAACTGTAGAGAAGAAACACGTCTAAGGTGAATAAAGGACCAAGCACTTGTTGGGGGAGGGTTCAGATTAGAAGTTCTGTTATTTAGGCAACAGAATTGAATTATCCTTTTGTTTGTTTGTTTGTTTGTTTAAAAAAAAAAAACACGGCTGTGTGCTAACAGCCAGCCCCCAGAAGTGCTTGTGTGCTGTGACTAATGAAGAGGTGGACTTGGACATGCATTCACCAAGGGGACAGGAGCAAAGCAGAAGCTCTGTGTGTGTGTGTAGACTTGAGCTCATTTCACGGTGAGCAAATGGAAAATTGAGCTGATTGGAGACCTGTTGACATTAACAGAGAGTAATATCAAAGATTTAAGCAGAAAATGTCTTGCCTTTGGCTTTAACTACATTTAGCTAATTTTTCAATTAGTTATATGCTACTTATCTTTTAAAAAAAAAAAAAAAAAAAAAGCCAGAGCAGCTCCAGGCATAGGAAGGGATGTACATACCAAAAAATTAAGGATATTGATTGTATGTGTGCATAGGGCATAAAAATGTATTAGTGAAATAGTTATACACAGACTGTAAGAGGAACTGGGGCTAAACATTTTCTGATTGAAGTTAGCAGACAACTATAGTGAACTGTGTTATCAGCTGATGATTCAATATACCTCAGATCTTTGTTTATTCAGGCAGTACCAGAAACAAAATTCTGAATGGAGTTTCTGACTACAAAGACCAGGGTCTCTGGCCAGGGAAAGCAAAGACTGAAATAAATTAATCAGAAGTCATGTATATTACAAAAAAAAAAAAACTTCCTCAACAAAAGCAAGTTGTGGACAGAAAATCATTGCTATTTCTGTCAGGGAGTAAGAAAACCAAAGAAGCTCTTTTAATCTCTGTTGACTGTAAGCATATTCAGGTATTCTGCCTTAAGATACCCCTGCTACCTGACGTAGTTGCTGTAAACTGGCTGCTGAATAATTAAATGATGTGTTGAAATTAAGAAATTTCCATGTATGTTTTAAACTGCTTATTAAAACATCTAAAATTACCCATATTTATCACTCTAATGAAATCTAGCACTCCATTTTCCGTTCATAATTAAATTTTACATTTGTTCTACCACTAACAACAACTAATAACAAGGGACTAATTCTATCCTTGGGTCTGATGATGAAATTTTGCTATGATTTTTAATAGCATAAATGTAGCTCTTTGTTTCAGAATTGGAGAAGTAGCTTGTTTGGAAGGTTGCTGAGGACTGGTTTTGGAGGCAGGCGGACTGGGAAATGAAGGTATTGTTTTGTTTTTTAAACCTGTAACTTCTACTAGGTGTTTTGCATTGAGTCTGCAGAAGAAAGACAAGTACTTAGTCTGGAAACCCCAAATACAGGGTGAATGAAATATTGCATTATTCAAAAGAAATGAGCTAGGTTTAAATAACCATAGCAACAGCTTTATTCCTTCTTCTAGGTGAAGATATAAGGAAATCATCAAGTGACTGCTCTGGGGCATAAATTCAAATTCTCATCTACCTGCAATCTGGCTATCTACTGAGAAGGATGAAACCTACCTAGAGACCTTATCTTTGGAAGCAGGGAATAGAGATGCAGAGGATCCTGACATGTCCATGGTCACATATGTTGGCTCTGGTAAGCCAGAAATTACCTAAGAACAGTTATAACAGGCAAAGCTTATGTTTTTCAAGCAAACTAGTATGTTATGCTTCTCTACCCCAATTCTCCCCCAGAAACATTAAAATTAAAGATGTTCTGATACTGGAAAATTAGGTAAGCTGCTAATCTTACTTTTCTAATGCTGTTGTTCGTTTTCAGCTTGAAATTTTGAAACTTTAGATCTGTGCAAATACGAAGATATCTGCAGCATAGTTTAACATGACAAAGATTGATGCTTATTTTACAACAAACAATGAGAAGTCAAAGAGTGAGTGTGTGTGTGTGTGTGTGTTGCAGAGGGAATCATGAAGGTAGAAATACTTTCAGTTATTACTCTTGCAGTCCTGAAAGTCAAGTAGAAAAACTACACACATCCCATGTTACCAAGATGATGAAAACTCATGCTTTGTCAAACACAAAATTAAACAGAAAATGAATAACGATACCTTAAAAAAATAAAAAAGTAACCTAGTTGCCTTAGATTGGGTCTGCCTTTGTGTAAGTTCCTTTGTTGTTACTGCCGTTTCTGGTACTTGATGAGTCTTTGCTGAGCTTTTGTTTGCAAAATTTAAACCAAAGGAAGATGTAAAGCTTTGTGTCAGAAATAAATACTTATAATCAGGAGTACAATAATGGCCAAGTGCCTGTAGTCTTTAAAGTGTCTATTTAGAGATACAGTTTAAATAATACTAACTAAAACATCATGTAAATAGTTGAGTGAAGAGTATAATGAAATTACAGACAAAAAGTTAGAGCAGCTTTGAGATGCAGGATGCTATGAAATAAGAGCAAGGTAAATTAGAATTAGTCTTCTTGCAGGCTTTGTCTCCGTTTCTAGCTTGACAGGAGGATATTGACTGCTGATAAAATCAGGAAAAAAGAGCAATGCTTTCATTAAAATGTTATGGTTTGGGATCTTGAAACAGACTTTACCATTCTCTCTCCAGCATCAAGAAAATGATCCATATCTGATCTTGCGTGAAAACCATTCAATGAGTTGTAATTTATCTGTTAGTCACCATTGTGGAGATACTGTGTACAAATTTTTAATTAAAAATAGTATTTTGATACAGCCCTGTTATCTCTGTTGGGAATTGTTTTAAACTTCTTATATACACCAACCACCAATTTTCTGCAATATGGCTCAGGGAGGAGGAATTTGCACTGCACTGTTCGATAGCAACAGGTCTTAAAGGAGTATTAAGGATGAAATTCTCAAGGGTCTTTATGTCATGGATGGAAATGGAATCATTACTGTATTTTTGAACTCCTGCTAACGTCATTGACACCCACCTACAGTCCACTAGAAATATAAGTGGAGAGATCAGTTTGCTCACAGATTACAAGCAGACTAACCAAGAAGGGGCAAGCCAGAGCCAATTTACTGGTAAGCTTTATTTTAAAGAGAGCGAAAAGGAGAATCTGATACTTTTTTCTTGAATCAAGCTGTGAAATGCATCTTTGGTGCATTATACCAAATTGTATTAATACTGTAGTTATTAATATGTGCAGTACATTTCTATTTCATGCAGTTTTAAAACTTGAGCTGTCTGGGTCTCAAGCCATATTTTTGCATTTTCCTTGGAGCACACAAAGCTGTAACCGATCAGCCAATGTAAAGGGCTGTACTGTCTTTACAAATGAAAAATTTGCAAATGTAAATGTTGCATATGTTAAGTGTCAAACTTGGAAAGCGAATTCAGTGTCTAGAAATAGCTTTGGTATGGGAAACACTTTTTAAAAATAATTTGTTTTTCCCAGTACATTAGGATAAAACCAGAAAAAAAAGTTGATAGCACCCACTTGGATGTAGCCTCTGGCAGGCGGATTCTCCTTGCCACCCATAAATTATTTTCAGCAGTCCACTGGATTGTCGTGCTTGCTTCATTTGGTAGCAGTGACAGTTCTGTAGGACTTAAAGCACCTGGTTCTTCATCCTTCTTACAGATATCCTGTTCATCTCTTCACCATGTGGAAGGTGGTGCTCCTAGTTTTATACGCAGTATTGGCTGTAAGAGGATTGGCAAAGGGTGCTCCTTTCCAACCAGAGGAAAAATGGAAACCTTTAGATAACCCTAGAAACCGAGATCTGGTAAGGAAATGCTGCAAGAAAGATAACCTAAGCTTTACATGGGGGTTTTTTGTTGTGTTTTCCATCATAAGAATTTTTATCTACTGAAGTTAAATGTAAGCAGGGCCCATTGAACATAGACTAGAAACTCTGTACTTTGTATAGACAACAGCAGCAACTGGGTGACCGTTCTTCAGTCTATATGTTCCTTTTAAATGAAGAGACAGTCTCAGTGTAAAGTAGTACATGTAACTTTCTTATATCTCCGTCCAGCAGTTTTAGTTTAAAAAAATGTGTTTTGATCTATAAAACAGCTTCTGTTTTATGAAACAGAAGAGGAATGATTATTATGTTTCTCTCAAATGTGTACTGTTAATTAGACGTTGTTTAATCTTCTAGAAATACAAATTTGCATCTGATGCATCGTGAATAGTGTCTGAAGATCTGAAAGTTAGTTACAGCTAAGAAAGTAACATAATGGAAAATCTGCAAGATCTTATGAGAAATTTGTGAAGGAAGAAAAATTAGTTTCATACAGTTTTTATATTTGTTGTAAAGAAAGATTGTTTTCGGAAACATTACTGAAAACTTTCTACTTTAAGCAATCTAATTCAAATCAATTGCCCACCGTTGCTAACTCCTAGAGAAATGTTTAGCAGCATTGTACTGTTTGCCCTTAGGAATGGTTTTGCTGTGCCCTTTTTATAAGGGATACGTTTTGAATGCTGCTTGAATCCTCTGGTTCAGAGGGGAGCAGGTGGTTGGTGGCCTTTGGACACTTTGCAAGATGGACAAGCTGTGGACAGAGTGGAGAAGTCTGAGTTCTATTGCCTACTTTGTACTAGTTTATGATACAGAAAAACGCCTGTGATATGAAAATAGAGGATTTCACCCCACGTAGGAGCAAGCATTATGTTTACTTTGTTTCAGTAGAAATAATTCATCTGAGGTGTATGTGCTGTATTTTTAAATGTGAAATATCTTCAGTTTTTCAGAACGCTCCAGGCTTATTTTTCAGGCAGAGGTCTTGATCTCAGAAAGTTCCCGGCTACTTTCACTATGAACAATGAAGCACCAAGGCCTGTCATGTTCTACTCAGATCCTATTGCTTCTGCATTTGCAGATTATGAAGAAAGGAAAAATTCTTTTCCAAATTATTTCAAAGGCTGAGAGATAATGCTGACCAAGGTAAAAGAGGGTGTCTTTTCCTGTAATGTAATCAAGTGAAAGGTTTGGTTCAAGTGACTCTCATTTCTGTATGAAACATAAAAGCAGCTTGTTCTTGAGAAGAAATTAATAATGGGCACCCTAACTCTTCCCTGAAACTGCTTTACTATCATTGAAGTGGAGATTTATGAGGAATTTACTACTTCTATGAAATAACACAGGGTGATTGTGCAGTAAGTAGTAATATGAAGTCAGACCTATATAGACTATGCTTTTCACCTGGAAATGATTGCTGAAAATGTACAGATAACAGAGAACGTAGAAGATTTTACTTAAGTAATTGATATTAGTAAAATTACAGATTGAGACTATTGGTTTCTCATGATATACAGATATTAAGAAAATTAACTTAGACTTAAAATATTGCACTAACAAAGCATACTTTAGCTGTTACATATTTGTACATGCATGCTGTTTACCGTATTCCTAACACTAAAATTGAAGGTTGAATAAAATTATTTTAAACTGACTCACATCTCTTCATAAATATGAAATCAATTCAGATGGATCACGCTTGCATTATTCATAAATCCAGGCTGAATCTATAGCAGGTTCTTGTCAGTTATTTTATTATTTTATCTATACATAAACACACTCTGTAATAAATTCTTTCGTAGCTCATTCTGAGGGTAAGTGAATACCGGTAATTCTGAGGACAGGTAAATAATTGTTTTCTCTCATTTTACGAATAGATGAAGATTTCAGTAAGACTGGAATATGAGCAGTTAGGTGATTTGTTTAACAACTTAAAGAGATTATTTTGTAATCAATATTCAGCTTGGGATTTTTAGCTCTGTCTTGCTCTCTGCCTACTTAACTACATCTCCTTTTGTAGTCAAAAGCTACAGGACAATTCAGGACAATTGTGGTAGTCTCTTCTGCCTTCACAACTGTTTTCTAGATTTGCAGATTTTAAATTTAGCTCAACCAGTTTTCTAGAGTTCTTTGTAGAAATGACCTAAAAATACTGTGCAAGCGAAAAAGTTCTATCTTTCTGTATTTTTCAGACTGGTTATTCTTTAAAATCCCCAAAGACTGTTTGCTTAGAATATACATATTTGATAAGAACTGTGAAACTGCTGAACTTCTGAGAGTTTGTATTATGCCACATTCAACACACAGGACAGTTCAAGGCCTGGTGTACAACTAAAACAAATTAATAAAGGGCAAGAGAGGAAGCTAGTTAAGTTGTTCTTTATTTGTGACTTATCCAATCACTGAGTGATATTAAATGAAATTCTCTGGCCCAGAAATGGTAAGAGTCTCTAATCAGCCTCAGAGGAATGTAAGCGGGGAGCAGAAGGACGAACACAGGCACTTGCAGCCCATAAAATCTCCCCTTTCACTTAATGAAAGGGGGGCAAAAGCTGAACTTGGCATTAGCAGCTATATAGCCAGTGACTGGTGGCATGGGAGGTGAGCGCCCACTAACGCTTGCGGCCAGTAGCTTCAGTGACGCTCCAGGGCTCTCTGAAAAGGCAGAAGTCCGTTCCTTACCCCCAGCTCCAACTGAGAGGACGTCCCTCACTAACAAGAGGAAAAGGTCTCCACCAATAAATTGTTACTAACTTGGAAAGCAGGGAGCAGCTGCAGGCAACTGGAGTATTTCAGTCAGTGTTACCAGGGCTTGGGTCGTGCACTAGGTGTATATAAATATTTGTCTAATATCTTCTTTTTTTTTCCTCTTTCAGGTGTTAACTTTTGAACTTCATGTGAAGCGGCAACTTTCATAGCAAAATGTTACTGCTTTGACTTGTAAACGGTTATCTGACGATTTAAAATTTTCTTCACTGTCAAAGTTTTTACCTTTATCTGAGGTATTGCTGTAACTAGCACATTTGCTGTGTATTAACAAACGTGCGACGTTTGGCTACAGTGGTTTGCCTAGCAGACTTGTGTTTGTTTAAACGTGAATAAAGGAAGAGTTCATTTCAACAGAGTGTTTTTACTGTCAGCTGTCTGTTCGAAATAAATACATGTTACCTTTAAATGTATAACAATTACATGTCATGACATCTTTAAAGGGTTTTTTTTTTTTGAGATTCTTTCATCAGAGGTCTTTGTTTTGGGGACTTTTACCAGACTTTAACAAAATAATCACCCCTTACAGAAACCTCCCCAAACCTGTCTAGGCGTTCTGGGTTTCTACGTTAGCCACCTCCAGAAACTTAGGTCCTAACACAGATTTCTAGGTATTATTACAATCACAATAAACATACGACTGTCCTAAC